ACAGCTGACCTATCACCCTCACAGCTGACCTATCACCCTCACAGCTGACCTATCACCCTCACAGCTGACCTATCACCTTCATAGCTGACCAATCACCCTCACAGCTGACCTATCACCCTCACAGCTGACCTATCACCTTCATAGCTGACCAATCACCCTCACAGCTGATCTATCTCCCTCACAGCTGACCTATCACCCTCACAGCTGATCTGACCCTCAGCTGACCTATGACCCTGGCTGACCTATCACCCTCACAGCTGACCTATCACCCTCACAGCTGACCTATCACCCTCACAACTGACCTATCACCTTCATAGCTGACCAATCACCCTCACAGCTGACCTATCACCCTCACAGCTGACCTATCACCCTCACAGCCTGACCTATCACCCTCACAGCTGACCTATCACCCTCACAGCTGACCTATCACCCCTCACAGCTGACCTATCACCCTCACAGCTGACCTATCACCCTCACAGCTGACCTATCACCCTCACAGCTGACCTATCACCCTCACAGCTGACCTATCACCCTCACAGCTGGCATACCTTCCATACAGCTGCCTCTTGTTATCGTTAAAAGTGAACACGTGAGAGATTACATTTACAGATTAGCAAGGACCACTGAAGGTACAGTACATGAGAGAGAGAGAGAGAGAGAGAGAGAGAGAGAGAGAGAGAGAGAGAGAGAGAGAGAGAGAGAGAGAGAGAGAGAGAGAGAGAGATTATCACAATATAGTCTTTAAATAGCAGCAATACTAGAGCAGAAAGCTATAACGATAGGGTGTAATGGTCATGATAAGAGCTAACCTGAAAACCTTAAGGATTCATATTACGCTCAAACGTCCACAAAACCTTCCGAGTCCCCCAGTGGAAACGTCCCCCGTTTTCTCTGTTTCCCCCGTCTTTGTCTATGGGAGCAGACGCTGTATGCTGGGACCTGTTGCCATCCATTCCTTTGTAATCAATTTAATTTTGCTTTCGATAGCTGAGTCAGAGCATTGTTAGTGAAGATAATAGTAGAGAATGAAAATGAGTTCATAGTCTCAATTTCAACGTCAGAGGGTACCGTAAATTAATTCATCGGAATAGGAGTAGGTGGACTCCCTGGTCCGGTTTGAGTGAGGGCACGCGGGCATTTTAACCGTTAGTAAGTGCCCGTCCCTTCATCCATACAGGTATGCCATTCCACTCTGTGTTGTAATTCGCTCTTCTTTAAGTGATTTGACCCAATTAATAGTTGCTTGTGCAAGCGTTACAGTAACGTAGTTGATATGCTCTGAGTGAAGTCATATTTACGTCTTTAACGTCCCCTGAAACGTGATGTTGTTGTCACCGGTTAGTAAGTGCCCGTCCCTTCATCCATACAGGTCCCTAACGCAGCCTAGGCCGTGTCTATAGCGTGGATGTTGTATCCACTATGTCTGGGGAGATGTCCGAGGTCCAGTAGGATCAGTTACCTTCGTGAGACCCGGCCGTCAGACACTTCAGACTACCTATAGCCCCCATAGCTGGCTCGTCTGGCCCTAACGCTCGGTCCACGAGGTGACGCCGGATCACCAAGCCACACACCACTACCAGCCCCCATCATTGGTGGATGAGTGTCTAACTCAGTAGGGCTATTTGTGTGGTGGAATTAATCCACTGGGATCTCCAGAGTTCGTCGGATAGTACTCCATGGTGGCTGGACCCCATGGCTGTTGCTTGAGTAACACACCTGACGACTGAGTGTTGTAGTGGCAGTTGCCCTAGTATTTATGGTGCTAAGTGACCATAATAGTTGTGTTATTGAGTATGTCCACCCAGTAGGGTTGGAAGTGTTATATGTCCACCCAGTAATGGTGTGAGTATGTTGAGCCTGAGGGCCTAGTACTAGATTTCGTCTGTTAGTACAACATAATTCTTTCTTCTAATTTCATATTCATGTTTAAATAAACTTTGTATTTGTATAATTGTGTCTATTATTTACCTACAGTATTTACCGTTATTTCTTCCCTATTGCTTGATACTATCATTACACCTACCCACGAGCCTCCTATCGTCACGCTACCAATGGTGATAAATATAAGAGTAAAAGGAATTGTTACTGGCACACAGAGGCCCTCATAAAGGGTGGCAGTAGTAGCCCTCATAAGGGTTGATTACAAAATATATTGCTCAGGTGTTATTGTGTGTTGAGGAGCGTTATTGATGACTACTATTAAGGAAGATGAACTGGCAATGTGTTAAGAACCTGAAATGAAATAATAACTCGAGACTGGCGCACTACTCCATTGTACACAGGTTAAAAATAAATCAATTGAAAATGTTGATATTGAAATGTATGTATGTATGTCTATTAACTCTGAATATGGTGTAAGATGGTCTGAATCAGTTCCCTCGTACGCCGTAGCCTCTTCCTTTCAAGACATGTAGCGGCCAATACTCCTCTATATTTTTTTGTTTTAATTTCCTCATAACTTGTCTTTAACATGTGCTCATAACTCTTTTTATTTACTTTTTGGTTAAGCATTCATCTACAGGCCAAAACAACTCAGAGACGATGTGTTCTTTCCGTAAACGATAAAAAGGAATTCTGGTTGGTCTCACCTTACCCGTCATCTCTACAGGGGTTTGGGATAGGCAACGTATCTGAAGCAAGCGTCTTTTGCTCTCAAGGTATTTTATCAGGGACAGTCGTGGTGTTGAAGGAAAACATGGTATATATATGATGCGTTACTGAACGCCTTAATGTATTACTATCAACAAGTTTAACAATATAAACGGTATCTCAAAAGACGGACGCTGATGACAAGGTCAACAATGAGCTGATATATATTATGCCGTAATTATGAAGATCAATACAGTATAATATAGTCGGTGTCAATCTTCTCGTCGCGAATGATGGAGTATCATCAAATGTGAACCTTTTTAAGTCCAAGCTAGACCAACACTGGTACATGCTCACACACATTCAAGAGACTATGCACACCTATTACCAGCCAACAGTACAAATGACAAAGTGAAGTAACTGAGTAAACGTATTTTATGGAACGTGGAATATAAATTTTGTATCATCTTCAATCAGACTGAACATGTGAACACTCGATACCCTCAATTTAAAACAGTATTTTTAAGGAACCAATTTGTGTATTGTTGGTGGTTGACATAGATATCAGCAACACGAACTCCTGACCGCCAGCACTGAAGTCTCCGTCTGGTTACTCTGAACACGCTAAAGACACCGACCCTTATTACCCCGAGGACTAAACTTTTGATTACTGTTGACAAATTGTATCGTTCGTTTACACAAAGTAAACGAGTCTTTGTTTAGGGTGATTAATGTATAATACTTTCCTGAACCAAGCGTGAAGCTCCCTCGCTCTCCCCTCACCACCACATGATCCAGAAGAGAGGCGGTGTTATTAATTTATTAATGTTTTAGGAAGAAGTAAACTTTTAAAAGTTCAGCAATTTATAATCACAAACTACATACCCCCACACACACAGACTAATAAAATATACAAAAACAAAGGTAATAAGGAATTCAGTTGTATTCTCTTGAATATTTAAATATTTTTCTTTGTGCATCGAAGTCAAGAACAAACAATGCCTCGTGTGTAATATGTTTGTCTTCCTAAAGATTATTTGTGCAATATCTAGGTTTCTAAACCAGGGTGTGTGGGGGATGGGAGGGGGTGGGCTGCGAGTGGGAGGTGGTGTGTCTGTCGAGGTGTTTCCTGTACAGTATATGGTCGCATTGTTTTAACCAGGGAGCCGAAGTATTTGTTGTGTGTGTGTGTGTGTGTGTGTGTGTGTGTGAATCTCAAGAGAATTGATGAATGAACGGAACAATCTCTTTCTTAAAGATCGGTTAGTGCCTCAGGCCCAAGGGCGCAGTGGTGGTGTGCCAGATGAAGGTTGCCAGAGCCTGCCCAGTGCTTGTCGAGTCTCTCATTAAGTACTGGTAGTCTGGGATGCAGATTTTTTTTATTATCATTTCAGGTGTGACTCCACGTCATTTGTTCCCTTTATTTTCTCGCCATATTGTGAAATATACAGTATATCATTACTAACTGGAATTCAAGGAAGTGTATACAATTTTTATCTCGTTCAGCTGGTCGGCCAGAATTCAAGATGATTCCAACATTTGATTAGTCTTTATGGAGGGCTTACATTTTTGGACGTATATTTTAAAATAAATGGACACTCAAGCTTACTCGAGTGAATCGCATTGTACAAGTGAGCAGGCAGGTCTGAAGTGTGACAAGGAAAGACTACACCCATGACGACTGGTTTTAACATTACTTTTAACGGCATCAGTATTATCTTTTTGTACAAGTTAAAGTTACTTAGTACAGATGACTCACAACACAAGTAGCAACACAGGAAAGAACATTGTAATCCAAAGTAAAATTAACACAAGTCTTTAGTGGAGATGAAATGATTAACCCCCCTTCGCTAACACTAAGATGGAGGACTGCTAAGTATTGTGCATCTAGTGGACTCAGATTGGTAGCAGCTACAGAAGTCCCCAGGGGCCTATTGTGTGTACAATTATTGACCTACAGTCTCTAAAGCATCATCTAGCTAGTTATATAATAAACAATCTCAAAATGTATCATAAAATAAAATAAAAAAAACAAAAGAGAGCTAGTGGTGTAAGACTAGATTGCTGACTGTGACCTAATATAAACATGGCGTAGAATAGTGTCCGCTCTTGTTATTCTCTTGAACTTTTGGTTGTCGACGTGAACATTACACGACCATAAATAATTGTAATGATCATGGTCAAGACTCTCGTAACATTTATGTATTTAAACAAACAAACACACACACACTCCGTCTATCTTTATGTGCGTATGTAGCCTTCACACTTTTCTTTTTAACTGTAGAAAAGAGTCCACCGCTGAAGGTATAAATCAATGTGATATTCCTGGACATCGTAGAGTAAGTTTCCCTGCTGTATATCTCTATCTACCTGTCTGCTTATGTATCAGAAAACAGCAGGATAATACTCACACGGTGGAGACGAACACAGTGCCATCAGAGAAGAGAATTACGCCCTGAACTTTCTTTAAGACGCTGACCAGGTAGACTTTCCTCACGCTCAAGATGCTGGGATCAGGAAGCCAGATTTTTTCCAAGATGATAGGGTCTACAATTGTCTTCCTCACCTTCTCTTCCTTATCTTGTACCAGGTCGTCTGATGATACATACGAGGTGTTATGTTTGTAGTAATCGGTTTAACTCCAAATTTTAGTTTTATCTCACTCGTTCGCAAGGATCATACACTCACCTCCTTTACCGTTCCTATGTTCAGGGTTCATTTTCTTACCTTCTTCGTCATTCTTGTCCGCCTCAGGATATCTAAGGCGCCAGTCTTTCCACATCATACGGAAGTAGGTGTCTAGGACCACGGCCTGGCGGACAGGAAAGACGACCTTATTAGATTTGGTGATAGGAAAAAAAAAAACCATAAGAAAAAAGGTACAATTTTTGCAAGGAAAAAATTTCAAGAATGTATATAGATGTGTCTGTCAATATACATACAGTATATGCGGTAAATATTGAACAGGAGCCTTTTTCTCTGACTTCTTCCCAATATATTTTCCTGTACCTTTGTCTGTAGCTTTTTCCCTGTGAATTTCCCATGGGTTTTCCTGTATATTTTTTTCAAACATTCACGAATTTAACGGCAATAGTATAATATTTAACCAATCAATTAGTATCCTTTTATTTTCCAGAAAAATATATATTATATTACATTTATATCAAACTCTGAAAAGGAAAAACAAATGACTGCTAACGTGCCGATGAAGACGCACCACCACACTGATAAATTGAGAGTTAATAAACTTTTCAGGCGTGTAATAACCACAAATGATGCCAAAAGTTAATGGGCCTTAATCAGTAAGTCAATTTTCACTCTTTAAAAAAAATCAATAAATTAAATAACTCTCTGAATTCCTTTGGATAGAATTCTAGATTATGTAAATCCACTTCAAGTATAATTTATCTTGTATCCACAATTTGGTCTTACACCCACCCTGATATTGCATTATTGGAAGTTACGCCAGACGAACTTTCGGCCGCCTGATCCTACAGAGATTAGTCTAATGTTATAGTCAACAAAACTCATAACTTACTGTCTGTCGCCCGTCCGCCTCAGTGATGCCGTTGACTTTGATGCTGAAGTTGACCAAGAGGGGCGACCCATCTATAGGAGACGCAGAAGGAGGGAGGAAAGGTTACACGAACAGTCTTGATGGATTCCTAGGAGGGAGGAAAGGTTACACGAACTGTCTTGATGGATTCCTAGGAGGGAGGAAAGGTTACACGAACTGTCTTGATGGATTCCTAGGAGGGAGGAAAGGTTACACGAACAGTCTTGATGGATTCCTAGGAGGGAGGAAAGGTTACACGAACAGTCTTGATGGATTCTAGGAGGGAGGAAAGGTTACACGAACTGTCTTGATGGATTCCTAGGAGGGAGGAAAGGTTACACGAACAGTCTTGATGGATTCCTAGGGGAGGAAAGGTTAAAGTCTTGATGGATTCCTAGGAGGGAGGAAAACACGAACTGTCTTGATGGATTCCTAGGAGGGAGGAAAGGTTACACGAACAGTCTTGATGGATTCCTAGGAGGGAGGAAAGGTTACACGAACAGTCTTGATGGATTCCTAGGAGGGAGGAAAGGTTACACGAACAGTCTTGATGGATTCCTAGGAGGGAGGAAAGGTTACACGAACAGTCTTGATGGATTCCTAGGAGGGAGGAAAGGTTACACGAACAGTCTTGATGGATTCCTAGGAGGGAGGAAAGGTTACACGAACTGTCTTGATGGATTCCTAGGAGGGAGGAAAGGTTACACGAACAGTCTTGATGGATTCCTAGGAGGGAGGAAAGGTTACACGAACAGTCTTGATGGATTCCTAGGAGGGAGGAAAGGTTACACGAACTGTCTTGATGGATTCCTAGGAGGGAGGAAAGGTTACACGAACAGTCTTGATGGATTCCTAGCTACTGAACCTGACGCTTTCTCGGTGTGCTGACGCCATACTCCCTTAAACACACCACTTTTTCGAAGCATAATTCTGAAATATAAACCGCCACACAACACGCCTGACATCAATTGAGATGGACATCAGTAACTTGGAGAACTCGCTTATACGTCTTATATAAAGGTACTTAGGGATTTTGTTTGCCGAATCAATATTGTTGAAGGTTATCGGGAAGTGTGCCATAAAAGTAATTGGTTATATAAGAGAATAGCACCAGATAGTATAAGAATAGCACTGGATCGCCTTACTATACCGCACTTAAATGTTTAATGTTTTTTTTTGGGGGTATGTGAAGTCCAAAGCTGTAAGACCTTGTTCAGCTGAAAGAGAACATCATAAGGGCGATGGTCTCCGTAACCCGCGAGATGTTAAAGAATGTATGGAGGGAAACTGAGTACTGTTGTGACTATATGAGCTGTGTGAAGAAGGTTAAAAAAATAATGGCTGGAGACACCCCTACCACTATCACCTACAAACGCTCTCAATACCATCACCACAATTACCACCACTACTACTACCATTACCACCGCTACCGACCGCCATCACCCATAGATTGATAATATTGACCATTACGTCATCGCTCCCAATTATTACACTTACAGTAATTGGACAACGACACAATATCACATTAGGCCTATTTGGTTACAGCCTCGAACAAAATTGCACCTGGCCAAATATCTCAGGACAAAATGCTACTGGACGAATCCAACTGAACAAAACAAATCCCAATGGACAAAATGCTCAGTCTTAAATCCCACCGGATAAAATGCTGCCAGACAAAATCCCACTGGACAAACTGTTATAAAAAAAATCCCAACGGACAAAATTTCACAATAAAACTTTATTGAAACATTGATTAGGTTAGGTTAGGTCAGGTCAGGTCAGGTCAGGTTAGGTTAGGTTAGGTTAGGTTAGGTCAGGTCAGGTTAGGTCAGGTCAGGTCAGGTCAGGTTAGGTTAGGTTAGGTCAGGTTAGGTTAGATTAAATTATGTTTAGTTTGGTTGGGTTAGATTTAGTGTAGTCAAATTAGGTCAGGGTAGGTTAAGTTAGGCTTGATAAGTTAGGTTAGTTAAACTACTAACCAAACAGAGCTTACGTTACTGGCCACTCACATACCTAGAATCACTAGCCACTCAGAATGCACGACTCACTGGCCACACAGAGACCTTGACATCCTGGCTACTCAGAGAGCTTAACTCACTGGCCACTCAGAATGCGCGACTCGATGGCCACTCAGAATGCGCGACTCAATGGCCACTCAGACCTCGACTCACTGGCCACACAGAGAGCTTGACTCACTGGCCAATCAGAGCAGAAGTCCCTGGCCACTCAGAGCATGATTCACTATCCACTCATTAAGGAACTTCGGATTATTATGATAAAAGGTGAATTCTAATAATCGCTTTATTTTTATAGTCATGTTTTCCAGGTAGGTTCGTGTTCACCAGGTAGGTTCGTGTTCGACAGGTAAGTTCGTGTTCTCCAGGTAGGTTCGTGTTCACCAGGTCGGTTCGTGTTCGACATGTAAGTTCGTGTTCACCAGGTAGGTTCGTGTTCACCAGGTAGGTTCGTGTTCGACAGGTAAGTTCGTGTTCACCAGGTAGGTTCGTGTTCGACATGTAAGTTCGTGTTCTGGTAGGTTCGTGTTCGACAGGTAAGTTCGTGTTCACCGGGTAGGTTCGTGTTCGACATGTAGGTTCGTGTTCGACCATTAGGTTCGTCTAAGTCAGTGCCAACTTTACAAGAGAGGAGGGGAAGGTAATCGATACAGGCCTTTGTTCAAACACTTGTTCATCGCTTAAACTTTTTGGAATTAATTGGTTTGTGCTATACCCCAGGTTTCATTACGGGGATTGCGCAAACAATCCAAGAGAGATTTCACTGGACATAAATCCCACTGCTTATATTTTCGCTGGACAAAATCCTACTAATTATAATCCCAGTAAACGAAATACCACTGGAAAAATACCCCATAGAACAAAACCCAAATAAAGAAAATGACACCCAATAAACTCCTAACAAAACCAATCGTCACACACACACACACACACACACACACACACAGATAAAACGAATGCCAAACAATTACATAATTGGACAATCAAACAAATAATTATAATCAGGCAGAAAACCAGACATAACACACAACCTTGGATCCTTATCAGTCAGGTCAGTAAGATAACAGTTACCGGTATATAAATTTCTTGTCACATTTGTCATAAATCCCCTAAGTAACATTTAAAGTTTCCTGGTGACATCAAAGTTTCCCTTTACCTGGTGACTAAAAATTTTTCCTTGGTGCCCGTTAAAGTTTCCTTGGTAACGGCAATATTTCCCATGGTGGCGCTTAAAGTTTCCCTGGTGAAGGTAAAAGTTCCCTGGTTGACGTCGCTTATAAAAAAAAAAGACAGTGAATCTATCATTAAATGTAACCGATTCCATATGTAAACAAGGCGTCTTATAGGGTTAAAACATTTAGAACAATAGTTGTTTCATCTTTTCCTTCTTCCTATCCCGCTATTCACTACCTATCTCCTAGTATATCCCTCACCTATCCCTTCACCTTTTATCATCCCCTACTAAATATTCAACTATTTAACAACAACAACGCGGTAAGGGGAGGACTCAGAACACGAATAACTTAAATGTATACTACGCGAACAGTTGAAGTATGAGAAACGAAATGGATGATATCAGGGCCTTGGTATGTACCGAAAAAATCGATATAATAGCATTCACTGAAATATGGATCAACCAAGACACACGTGAGTTACCGGTCGAATACCAAATTGCGGGTTACAAACTGTTCACATACCGATAGGCAGACCAGGAAAGGAGGCGGAGTAGCAATCTATGTTCAGGATAATCTGAAGTGTGAAATAAATAAGGAAATAAAAACCGAGCTGAGTACAGAAACAATTTGGATAGAATTAATCGACGGTAGGGAAAAATTAATCACAGGAGTAATATATAGACCTCCCAATCTTGATAGAGTCAATGAGCGACTTATCTGGGATGAAATGCACAGGGCTTCCATACACAACAAAGTCTGTATAGTAGGCGACTTTAACCTTGGCCAAATAGATTGGACTGACCTTACAGGTAACTCAGAATCAGAGGATTTTCTCGAGACGATCCAGGACTGTTTTCTAAGTCAACATATAACCGAACCCACCCGGGGTAATAATATACTCGATTTAGTTCTGTCAAACAGAGAAAACCTCATTAGCAATGTCGAGGTAGGGAACGAACTTGCAAACAGAGATCACAAAGAAATTAGATTCCAGTTAGAGTTTCAGGGCAGACGTAAGGAAAATTCCACTAAAGTACCAGATTTCAGAAGGGCAAACTTTGACAGTTTAAAGAGGCAGCTGAGAGAGGGGGTGTCGCTCTTGGCCGTGAACCTGACAGATGACACCGACCTGATAACGAGATCTGAGATTGCCGAGTTCCACGACAATTTAAATAGTGAGTTACTTAATGCACAAAGGCAGAACATACCATACAAAAAAACTCAGATCAGACAACAATGACCCTAAATGGATAAATAATTATTTAAAGAACATCATTGGCCAAAGGAAGGCTATAGGTAGAAGGATAAATCGTGGCGAAATTTACCTCCGGGATTATTATAGGGTATTGGCGAGTAGGGTTAAAACCGAGATAAGTAAAGCCAAGAGGAATAATGAGGTAAGGATAGCAAGGGAGGCGAAGACAAACCCCAAAGGATTCTACCAAATGTATCAAACTATACACGAGAAAAGATTGGACCAATACGGTCAGACACCAGCGAACTCACTGATAACGACAGAGAAATGAGCAATAATTTGAATAAATATTTTTCAACAGTTTTCACCACAGAAAATTTAAACATGATACCCGGGGCACCGACTCTGTTCAGAGATAGTGAAGAAAACAAATTAAGCGAGATAGTAGTGACTAGTAACGATGTTAGTAAGCAAATAGACAAATTAAAGCCTGATAAGTCACCGGGTCCCGATGAGATATTTGCCAGAGTATTAAAGGAATGTAAGGAAGAGCTTAGTATGCCCTTAGCAAAGTTGTTTAACATGTCCTTAAAAACAGGTGTAGTACCAGAATCCTGGAGGATAGCGAATGTAATACGGATTTTCAAGAAGGGGGATAGATCACTATCCTCTAAATACCGTCCAATCAGTCTAACATCAATAGTAGGCAAATTACTGGAAGCAATCATTTCAAACTCTATTCGAAATCACCTGGAGAAGCACAGATTGATCAATGATTCCCAGCATGGCTTCACAAGCGGACGTTCATGTCTAACTAATCTATTAACATTCTTTTCATCAGTTTTCGAATCGATGGACGAGGGGCACAATTATGATGTGGTATATCTCGACTTTAGCAAAGCCTTCGACAGAGTCCCCCACGAAAGACTAATTAGAAAGGTAGAAGCACATGGCATCAAAGGTAATATCCTTAAATAGATTAGGGTGTGGTTACAGGACAGGAAACAGGGAGTGAGCATTAATGGCACTAAGTCCCATTGGAGCAACGTCACAAGTGGAGTTCCCCAAGGCTCAGTACTTGGACCATTATTATTTATTATATACATAAATGACATAGATATCGGCATAGACAGCAACATAAGCAAATTTGCTGATGACACTAAAATAGAAAGTTTTATTAACTCTGACGAGGACTCCACAAAACTACAGGAAGATCTAAACCAAATTTTCGAATGGTCTGAAAACTGGCAAATGAAATTCAACGTGGACAAATGTAAAGTACTCAGTATAGGAGATGTAAACAGGGAAACCAGATACCAGATGAACAACGATGCCATTGAGAAATCCGACTGCGAGAGAGATTTAGGAGTAATGATAAGTAGGAACCTTAAGCCAAGTAAACAATGTGTTTTTGCTCGTAACAAGGCTAATAAAGTACTTGGGTTCATACAAAGGAGTGTTAGTTACAAGACTAGCGAGGTCATCCTAAAACTGTATCTTGCTCTTGTGAGACCACACCTGGATTACGCAGTTCAGTTCTGGTCACCGTATTACAGAATGGATATAGAATCCTTGGAAAGAATTCAGAGGAGAATGACAAGATTAATCCCGGGCATTAGGAACCTTGAGTATAGAGACAGGTTAAAGCATCTTAATTTGCACTCCCTCGAGATATGTAGAGCAAGGGGCGACCTGATAGAGGTGTATAAGTGGAAGGCAGGGCTAAACAAAGAGGACATTACAAAGGTACTGAAACTATCCAACCAGGACCGAACTCGTAACAATGGTTTTAAATTAGACAAATTTAGATTTAGGCGTGAAATAGGTAAACACTGGTTTGGAATCAGAGTAGTGGATGAATGGAACAAGTTACCAAATATCATCATTAACTCGAATACGCTGAATTGCTTCAAACATAGGTTGGATGCTTATATGAGCAACAGGGGTTGGGTGTAAACTGGACTGCCCAGTATGGGCCAATAGGCCCGCTGCAGTTTCCTCCATTCTTATGTTCTTATGTTCATCTTGGTGACGTCACAAGCGGAGGACTGACTATCCGTCATTTTCTATGTCTCTTGACAATCATCAGGAAATAAGATTATATATACATACATAATCGTGTCTCCTCTGATACCGTTTCATAAAAAAAATAAAAAACAGAGTACACTTAGTATGGTATGAGCTCTTGTCTGTTAGCAAAATGGTTTCGGAGCGTATTGAATTTTCAGTTTAATATGACGGATGAAGGTTTCTTGACCAGAGAAATCTAGTTTTTTCCTTTAGCCCAACCAATTAAGAGGGATTCTTACTATTCAGTTACGAGAATATTCATCTTCCGAACATAGTGAACCCGACCGCGGATAGCTCATCTGTCTAATTACTCTAATAGTAGTTCAAGAGTGAGGTGCTCTCCCGTTTGGAGTATTATCACCCCGCCTAGTCCCCGAGATATGCTAGCTACTAGCTAGAAACTGTCAGTTGATGAAAAATGTCCAAAGAAGGGCCACCAGACTGGTGCCTGCACTACAGAACCTCAGTTACCCTGAGAGACGGGAACGACTGCACCCAGCACATTAAGAAATTAATGAAATATAAATTTGATACATTACCTAGGGGACCAATAAAATAACCATAGCTTTTTTTTGTGAGGAGAAAGAGACTTTAATCTATAGTTGCACTTGCACCTACCGATACCTTTAGCTATATTATGTCCATATACGCTTGTTTCTGAATTACTGAAGTAAAGTTAGATAAAAAAAAAATTCTCTGAGGTTTGAACTCCACATGCCTGGGGGTCTTGGGGCGAGTTCCTGACGATACCCATCGGGCACTATGGCACGGTGCTGTCTGTAGCTGCCGCTGTCTGTTGCTCCTACGTTTTCTGCTGCCCCTGCCACGTAGTTCTGCTGTCCGTAAGGGGTGATCTGACCTCCCACAACCAAGCCTGGGGTCAAGACGCACACCCTATGGGAGACATAGTCAAAAAATTATGCGACTTTCCTTCTTGTAGGAGTCAAGGTAGTAGTTAATAAGAGATAATGTAGAGTTTCGCTGCCATTTTTGTCCAACCAATTTTGCTCACATCTTCAGCTTGATGGGCAGTGTAAACCACCCCTGCAACACTGCCCCTCCCCCCCCCCTCTCTTTTTGTCTAATCTTATTAGTTTTACACTGAAACCCTCTTTCGTTTCTCTAAACCGATTCCTGTCACACTTAAATTTTCTATCTCCCCTACACAAAAATCACCCATGAATCTCAACCATGGTACAGATTTTATTCCAAGCACAAAAATAAATTATTACTAAATAGACAACTTGCGGAATTACTCCTTCACAGAGAACATGAAATATTATTGAAGCGAGGGCTAAATGAATTACAATATAAGATTTACATACATTAAAAAAATTCCTCGCGCCGGAGTGAAAATGGTGGGCAGGTATAGTGCTATGGTATGTGTATTAAACGCCACATCTATGAGTTGAGGTGCAGTATCCATCTTGATGTACGGTCTTGAGGCAGTTAATCGTGATGTAGTTCTTACTTCTCTTCAATCTGTATATTAGTTCCTCGCCGATAGGACGCTGCCGGGTCGGTAGTCATAAAACATTATCCGTCAGTAGTTTGGAGTTACTCACTGATTCGATGCTAACGTGAATGGTTCTCAGGTCTTGTTTCTTTTACTGTATTTTTCGTTTATTACCAATCCTTTCTTTCTATTTGCCACATCAAGCATTCAACATTAACCCTAGTTTCCTTTTTTGTCATAACTTTGTCTTTCAAAAGTTTTGTTTCAACGTTAGTTAAATTTCAAACGGTTTCTGAAGACTCGTTTGTTATTTCCGAACAAACGTATACATCATCTGTCAAAAATAAAAATTATTTCCACCACGATTCAATATTACATCTGTCAGCAATTTGTTTAACGGTTTTCTTTGTTTGTTGACGCTTATTTTGGAGTTCCAATCTCAATAACACCTTTTTAATTTGGTATTTAATTCAGTTCTATTTGTTTACTTAATTCCGCAGCCTTAAAACTTCTTGTTCGATAAATATATTTTCTAAGGTCGTTGACGTTATAATGTTAATAATGCGCTTTAAAAAAACCTAAGGTCAGTAATTACACACTGTCCATCAATAATTAAAAATTATTTCCTTTCAGAGATTCGAATTGATCGCTCTTTTTATTATAATATTACACTCTTCGGTCATTTTTGTTACTGCCCTCTGTATAGTGTACAAATATTTCAGTTAAGTGTCAACCTTTACCCATTTTCTTAACAAAATTAATAGACGTTACTCTCGGTTCACCAAGAACTGAAAAATTTCCACCAACTTTTTCTTGTCTATTGTCAGGCAGACTGAAAACTTCCCGAGTATCGTTACTACAGTATACCGCAGCACAAATGGTTAAATGAGCTTCCTATAATTTCCTACAGGATCTTTCCGTCAGAAGTTTGCTATCGCTGAAGGGGGAAGGAAAAGTGGACTGAGGAAGAGAAGCCTGTTTAGATGGTCCGCTCAGCCCAGTCAGCCTGGCACGACTGAAACTGAATCCATTACATTACCAATACCACTCACCACCCTGTGCCGTGCCATGGTCCACTACCGTCTGACTTTCGCACCCACACAACTACTGACCGCTCACACATACATAAACACATAAAAAAAAAAAACACAAACACCAACGCCTCCACACTCAATTTCTTAAATACAAAAAAACCGTTTACATATGTAACAACAAACAAATATCATACATGATCTATGGCACTGCACAAATACCATACACACACATACAGATAACACATGCAGAGTTGTGCAAACATATATAAACACACATACACAGTACATATTCACAAACACATTTTGATAAGTATTCATACCTGCGTGCAAGTCCACTCCTCCCACAGTTTGTAAACTTCTCCGTGATGCCTTTATTCATATACAGCAATGTTTAACATTTAGGCAGGATGTGTTTGATACAATAATTTATCATCACTAATTTTTCAAGGTAAGGGTGGAGCAGACAGCTAACACCAGTTGTTCGGTTTTGTTCATTTTTTCAAAGATGTTCTTTGCATGATATTATAATAAAAACGACACGACAATGCACAGAACCCAATAGTAACTGACCTAACCAAAGAAAACTACTTATAACTTTATCTAACTTCCTAGCTGCCTCCCGGTATATTAAACATAAAGAATTTACTTTGATATTTAGTACCAGTGAAAGCAACTTTCTTGAAGCGTCATGGTGTAATTTTACTTTTTTGTGAGGGGGAGGGGGGGACGTGAGAGTAAACTGGGACCAAGCTGCCCCAGTGTTGGGAAGAGGGAACAGCGGACGAAACCACCCGCCGACAAGGCAGATTTTTCAGAATACTGTACGGTAAATAAATAATTTTTTCGCATACAAACCATATAAACACCATATTAGTGTCATATAATCAGTTTTTTGCCGTGTTTACCTTGCAATTTCATTCATTCTTCATATCCTGTCCACTACAAGCGATTTTATGATCGTATAGAAAACAGAATTATAATTAAAATAAAAAATTGTGGTATCGTTTTTATTACTATCATTCAAAGAACAGATGTGGAAAATGAACAACTCCTTCTGGTGTCGGCTCTCTCTCTCTCTCTCTCTCTCTCTCTCTCTCTCTCTCTCTCTCTCTCTCTCTATATATATATATATATATATATATATATATATATATATATATATATATATATATATATTTGGGGATTAGCCCACCCGGGCACGGGTCACTGACTCACATCGGGACCTGTGGGGCGAAATTTTAATAATTATTCAAAGTATAAATAAAATTTATAAAAAAACAGTAAAATAAAATAATATTGATAACAATAATAATAAAACTGTAAAAAATAATAATAATAAAGAACTCTAAAGAAATACAAAAATGAAGAAAAAGTGAGAAACGCTATATGTACGTTGCGTTGTCAAGTAAGAGAAACAATTGAGACCCTGCAATTGTGTGTAAATGATGCAGAAAGGCAGATCAGCAACCTGGGACTTGGTCAAAATTTTCGTGATGCCATATGGCAGCAGGGTCTACCACTAGACAACACATTTTGCTTCCAGTATCTTCCCAGGCGATAGTACCTCCCTGTTTGATGGCTGCCTACTACCTACCTTTATAATACCCCTCGAAGAGGGCTCCTGGGCATTTATCCTTACCCTACAGTATTGATAAAGCACTCATTCAGGTCCTTTATAGGGCTTTGACCTTATTTCTTGATTATCTAACTCCAGGCATGTCTCCACTCAGGGTGTTTTTTATTACTGTTCCACGTCCCTTCCACCCTCACCATTACTGCCAAGCCTCTAATTGGTCTTCAATAGTTAAGAAGACAGTAATTACAGTACCCTAACAAGACAGTTGTTACTACTAGTAAAATGTGAGATTATATGGTGCCCATAAAGAGGTAGTAGATTCCCCCGTTAATTACTGCATCAACGTTGTTGCTACTTGTAAGTGCTTTAAGCTTGTTTCTAAAGGGTTTTTTACCTGTATCTTACTGTATTCGTCACCAAGAGGTATAGCCATCCCTAATATGCTGCCTGCCACTATACAGCTTTTCTGAGAGAGAGAGAGAGAAAGAATATCTAGCACAATGAAAGTGAGCGCATTTCATATACATTACAGAATGATTCACTTCCATATTTTTCATGTGTATATCAACTCTCCTTTCACAACTACATGTACTGGACATGTACACAAAATTTCAAGTCTTCTAAATAATAATAATTATAATAGCCAGTCTTTTGTTTCTCAAAGTGTCATTTCTCCTAAAGAATTCACTAGTGCTCTTAACAATACAAACTCAAAGACTTGAGAATAAAAAAATACTGTACTATAATAAAAGACCCCACAAAAAGTGAGTTCGACTTCTATCATCCATATACCCCCAAGTTTTCATACTTTCTAAACCCCATAATTCTCCATCACTGTACCCTTTTCAAGATCATAAGCTTTCAAAAAAAAAACGAAAAAAAAAGAAGAAAGGTCTTAAGTTGTTTCTTAAAGGCCTCCACAGAAGTCAGCTGCTTCATGGATGCAGACAACTGAGTGTATCTGATTGCTGCATAGAAAAAGGATCAGACAACAAAAGAACATTCCCATACTGCTCTAGGCTTCTCAAGGCGTAAAGGATCATCTCTATTACGCAAGATTATTTCAGAATGTGTAGTCAGTGGAATCAGTAAGTTGGCCAAATACTTATGCTCACCAAACATTAGTGTCTTAAAAGTTATTAGACAGTTTGAACTCTATCCTAGCTTTAATTGGAAGCCAATGTAATTCGATCAAGAATTGGGTAGTGGGAGATCAAAAATAAGCCTGGCAACTCTCTTTAATGCAGTAGATAATAAGGTAGGCAGACCCATAAAGTTACATTACAGTAGTCAATCTGAGACAAAATAAGTTAATGTAATAGTGTCTCAAAACAGTCTATCCAAAACACTTAACATCATAAAGATTTCGAATATGAAAGTTGCAACTCTTAACTGCTGAATTTATATGCTCTTTAAAATTCAGTTTTGAGTCAAAAGTACACTCCAAGATTACTAACAGATTCGACAGGACAGAGTTGTACTTTCCCAAAGTTTAAAATGAGCCCAAATCATGTGCTGTCTCCCCTCCTATTTTCCTGGATGATGATAATCTTGGTTTTGCTGTCATTCAACTTAGGTTTCCTCCTAGCCATCCATATCTTAGTCTCAGACATCAAGGATTTCATTAGCTCCCCAAAGCTACATAATTCATATTCCCAAAATATACATCTTACTTGTACATAAACAGGTGTGCAAACTTATATTCCAACACAAGTAACATGAATGACATACAGTATAACATGCCAATAATGGGTCACACTGACCTTGAAAGACCTTAGCAATTTAAATCCATAGGTTTCGTGTATCTGTAAAGACAACACCCTGCATAAAGTTTGGGAGGGTACGATGGACTGTGGTCAACAGATGCTACCATGTGTATGCCACACTGTTTAACAGAGACAAGATACACCTGGTAAAGTGGGCATATGAAACTCTGTAAAAAAGGATAAGAAAACCAACTTTTTTAGCATAAAATTCATGTGAAAATATATTACAAAATTCCCGACACATAAGCAGCGAACATCACAGTGCAGCTATGAGGAACCGTCTGCACGGCATCACAGCAGATTGTTTATATACCTGTACTTCGTAACTTTGACTTAAAAACTGGTAAAACAGCAAATTTCATAGTTTGTCATTACTTACATTGTTAAAAATAAAAATACTTACATTGTTAAAAATAAAAATAAACATTCTGAAGTTAAATTATAAACTGGTTTAATGTACAGACAATAAATTAGTGCAAATTTGATAAAAACATTAATTAGAAGACTCTAGGAATAATTGACGACCAGCAAGACAACAAATAACTTTTCTCATAGTCTAAATTAAATTTCTAAAAGAAAACAAGCAATTCTACTATTCAACCAGAGGTCAAAATTAAGAAGACATTAGCACTTCTGTCCGCCAGCTCTGCCTCCTGTCTGTGCAAGGGACCACCACCACCACTGCCACCCATCCTCTTTCACAGGTTATTTGTGGCAATTAACAATTAACATTACCAACATGGTTAATTAAAAAATCTGACATTTTATTTTCACTTCAGACAATAAAAAGATATCAACAATTTCAACATTCATATTTCCAAAGCTTTCAACAACTACTGATGATTATTCCCAGTGGAAATGGTGGTAAAGTAGGTTCCTGGAGCAATTCACTGGTAGAGGCACTCGGTTGACCAGCATGATATTTGATGCAGTGTCATAAATATGAACAAAGAATCACACTGCTTGTTTGGGCTAATAAACATAACAAATGAGCAAGCAAAATCACTTAAAATGCTTGTCAAAGGCAAGTGGCTATGTCAGCTTCATAAAGCTGATTATGTGTTTACCCTTCCGTCTTTGGTTTAATAAAACCTGAACATGGCAGTTTAGGATGATGACTTGTGTTTTGCCCTTCTATGCTAACATGCTATAAATAATGCCAATGTCAGTTTGTGAATAAATTAAACTATAATAATAATCTAAGTGCAGCACTCGGTGTGGTGCAAATTGTCTTGATTATAGTACAAATGACCAATAACACTTTATTCACAGCCCTGTTACATTAATATTAATAAAAATAAATTAATTTAATCAGTATAATAATATTATGCAATATCAATGATATTAATATGTAATAATAATAGAGATGATACAATAGTAATAAATATGGCATAAATAATAATAATAATGATTAAAAAAAAAATAATAATAACAAAAAACATCCCCAATATACTTATAATAAATATGTTCAGTGTGAGTCCACTAACTGTTCAGGTTGGTCAGTTCCCCAACATTTGGTGACTGGCTGCAAAGATTCATCTGTAATAACTTCCATTTTATTTTTGACATCCTCTTCCTCCATGCCTTCCTTTGATGCTGGAATGTCCATGTCCTGAGTTTCACCATCGACATAGCCATTTGTAATCTCCAGGACTCCATTTTGGTGCTTATCTTTTTCAACGCAAGAATCAACAACCTCCAATTTTTGACCATCAACCTCCAACTTGTCACCATCAACCTCCATTTTATCACCATCATCCTCCAATTTATCACCATCAACCTCCAATTTGTCACCAACATCCTCCAATTTGTCACCATCAACCTCCAATTTGTCACTATGATCCTCCAATTTGTCACTATGATCCTCCAATTTGTCACTATCAGCTCCCAGTTTGTCACTATCAACCTCCAATTTATCACCATCAACCTCCAATTTATCACCATCAACCTCCAATTTATCACCATCAACCTCCAATTTATCACCATCAACCTCCAATTTATCACCATCAACCTCCAATTTATCACCATCAACTTCCAATTTGTCACTATGAACCTCCAAATTGTCACTATGAACCTCTAAATTGTCACTATCAACCTCCATTTTATTACAATCACCAAGGTCTGATGATCCTGAAGGAGCTAACTTAGTTTCCTTTAAATGGTGTCCACCATCTACTTCCATAGATTCTAATTTCTCACTACCTACTACAATATTAAAACTGTCCTGAAATGAGTGGCTTTCAGTTGATTTTGTTAATTCAGTATCACAGCTCTTTCCAGTGTCAGTGGTTATATTGGATACCATCTGATCAGAAGGTTCAAAGGCTTCATTTGTTTCCAACTGAAACTGACCACCCTTTCCTTTACCAGGACGCAACGAAATAACAAAATCATTGGGAGCATCAATAATATCACCAGAACGAAAGTTGACTTCAATGCCACTGGCTAATTGTGAATCAATACTAGTCTCATCTTCACCATGGGATGCGAATGTTGGTTTGTAAATGCCCGTCTCATGGCAGAAGATCAAATGCCTCTCTCGTACTGGCAGAGGACCATCATCATTGTTTGATCCCTCATTCCTTCTTCCTCCAGGTGGCAAAATGGGTGTACTCAATATCTCTTGTCGGTCATGACGCATATATCCTTCAGGGTGTACATACTTGAAAGGACGGAAGTGCACTTTGGTGTGCTCACGAATAAAATTAGGCTGAGAAGCTGTGTAATCACAAAAAGTGCACTTGTAAACACCATACCCACCATTGGCATGATGTCGCAAACTATGGCTATCAACAGCATCACGCCTGACATTTGCATATGGACAATACTGACAATAGTAGACTCTGCGTTCCTTCTCATCATCCTTTTTAGAAGGGCCTGTGACCCCCTTTTTGTTCTGAAGTAAGAGGTGTTGACGTTCTGATGTTGTCAGATCAGCATCATCCATATTCTCCTTGTTGGCAAGATCTTCTATTCTGTTTTTAGTTCCCTTGTCACCCTGAGAAGAATTATCTCCTGATGCTATGATAGGCTCATACTTAAGATCAGTGTCATCAGGTGGAGGTGAACCATCATTCTGAGACACCATTCTTTCATGGTATTTATGACGATTTATGTGCATCATAAAATTGGCATAGAATTTCACCGAGTAATCACATATTCGGCATCTATACTTATGATTGGAATCATGAAGGTTTGAGTGAACATGGTATTGTTCAGTCTTTTCAAAGGCAGAAGGGCATTTGTTACATTTATAACGCTTTTCACGAGATTTACCGGTAACTTTATCAATATGCAGCGGGTAATGGAGCTTAGGATCGCCAATCCTTTTAGGATCCTCCTCCTCAAACTCTTCTCTTTCCTTTGATGATTTATTTTTACAGAGTGTAATTGTCTTTAGACTTGATGCACCATCACTATTCTTATCATGCCCCTCCTTCTCTAGTTGTGTCTTTCGGCGCAGAAGGTCAACACCAGACAATGGAACTTGCTCCTCAACATAGTATTTAAACTGTGGGCGACCACCATCACTTCCACCACCATCTGATGTACCAGGCCTCAACCCAATCAATTTGAGTTTAATAGGTGGATAGTAAGAGGCATTTTTCTCAGAACCCTTTGAGTTACTCTTCGATTTTGAAATAGATTCTGTTGTCCTTTGGCTTTCTGTTTTCTTTTCAGCTAGGGTATTTTTAGCAGTTTTCTCCATTTCACACATGATATCATGCTGGTCATGAAGATGCAGGTGCTGTTGGAGAGATTCGTATGTTTTACCAGCATAAGAACAGCGATGACACTGATGGGGATTATTGGCTCCATGCAGGGACTGATGATACTGAAGCGTTAACAACTTGCTGAACGACGCTGGACACCGATCACACATATATTTACTGGTTGGTGGTGGTTGTGGAGGGACACTGGATGTGGATGGAGAGGAGATAGAAAATTCATGGCCTCCTGATCCTGTTTTCTTTCGGACCAACTGGCTATCTTCAGTTGTGTCTACAGATATGTCAAGAGGAAGTGTTAGCCCTGGTACGGGTGGATGTGTGTGGGCTGTTCGGTGTTGACTCATCATTGTGCGAGTGCGTTGTTGATATTCTGGTGTGTGGACCTTAAGGTGAGCAAGAAGATGAGCTGGCTGTCGAACACCATAGTTACAATGATCACAGGAATGTGGTAGTCCAGTAGTATGAAAACGAGAATGGATCTGGATTTCCTTTTCTAAGAAGAACCTTGCTGGACACTGCTGACAGTAATACAGGACCTTTTCATCAAGTTTTCTGTTAGATGTGTCTTCAGACACAGACTGAGGTACGTTAGAAGATGGAGCAGTAGCTCTTGAAGTCAGTTGCCTTAGTTGGTCTTCATCACTCAATGTTGGATCAACAACAGCATGACACTGACCCATTGAACCACAGTGTACCTTTAAATGAGCTGACATAACGCCAGCATTTACACTAACATATGAGCAATTTGGGCAGTATAAACCACCTGATATTTTAGTAGCATCAGTTTTATGCATTTTCTCATGCTCCTGAATGTTGGTTTTCCGAAGGTTTACATGAGGACAGTGGCGGCACTTGAACATCTTGAAAAAACGGTTATCTCTGGATACCCAGACTAATGGGATATCATCAAGTTGCATTGTAGTGTCATCTGTAAGTTTGGGGAGCAGGGAGGTATCAGTAAGGGCTGAATCTTCTCCAGTATTCCCTCCAGATGCAGCATTGCCTACTGGGGTGATGGTCAAGGAAGGAGAAGGAGAATTGGAACGATCATCCACGTGACTCACACTTGCTCCAGTTCCCTCAACATTCTCAACTGCCCCGTGAACACGAATGTGCTGGGAAAGTAAATGGCGCCGAGTCACATTATAGGAACAGTGAGGGCAGCGAAACGGTAGTCCTTTTGGTTTGTGAAACTGTCGGTGGTGCATCAGCTTAGCACGACTCCTCGTCTCAAATGGACAAGCACCACATATGAACTGTCTTGGTCCACCTTCATCCTAAGAGAAAAAAATTCATAATCATTAATCATCCCAGTTTTCCACGATAGATAGATATAATACAAAGAATGACATGGGGAGAGATAAGAAATGACAGAGTTTGGAACCTGACAAGAGAGACTGCATGAGACCTTGCAGCATCTTGTTGAGTAATGTGGAATGTTACAATAATCTATAACAAGTTACTGATGCTACTACAATCAAAAACAGGGTCAAAAACACAAAATCCTGCTGCTTTTTACCTGATTATTGGTCCCAGACGAATTACTACTGCTATTACTGCTTTTACTAGCTGCTTCCAAGACTGATGTAGGGACTTCCATGCCATGGATGCTCAGGTGCTCAAAGAGTTCACTGTAATAAAATAAAACTGTGCTGCCTAAAACAAATTCACGAGCTAATATTCTAATTCACTTGATTTGAAAATGAACAGGTCTTGCTGATATATTTCTGTATATCAGATAGTGAGTGACCACCATGCGATCAACTTACCCAAACCTAAGGCAACTTCACCTACTCTACATTAATCCATTTTAACCTTGCCTCATCCAATCTTAACCAAACATTTACCTATGATTCACACTAAATTTGTTTTCTCTTTTAAAACTTTGATATTTTTTTACAGCCTTAAATCACAATTTAAAATACAAGAATTCCTTGATTTATGGAGGGGTTACGTTCCTAAAAAGTTGGTCGTAAGCCAAAATTAAGAGTTGAACAATAACATAACATAAAATATTTGCTACTGTATTTTTTGTATTTTATGATAAGCTATGTATCAATTCTATTGCTTATCAGAGCAATTTTTGTTAACTTTTGAAGTAGCCACTTGAAATTTGTTTGAATTAGGTCCATGTTGCGCTCACGAAATCATTAGACGCTGAACTATATCAATTATATAACATTTTTGTTGTTATATAAATAAATTGCTTAAGTTCAAAACCGTTTATGACAAACTCCTTTAAAGGATGGAGTACTGAACTCAGTGTTTACCATCCATTTTAACTGGTTGTTCACTCCCCTGCTTTGCTGTTATCCTTCGTTTTGCAATAATTTCACTTAATGTTAGGTTTTCAGGAATTCAACACCATCATTAAACAAAGGATACCTATAGTATTATATTTCAAGCCTTTTAATGTCTTTTTACACATGAACTCTACTTCCTTGATGGTGAAGACTGGGGAAGGCTGTTTCTGTGCCGTCTTATAAAAAAGTTGAGGTCAGATCATGCTAGGTTATAACATGTTAGGCCACAATCACCTGACTACTGGGGTCTGTAAAGGATCCTTTATGACCTCTATTCTACAATTCTTTTGTGATATTACTCACAAGATGAGCATATTGTTATAAACTAACTGCTGCCTGCAGGAAAATTAAAACAATTTGGGTACATCAGATTATGTTCAGTAGGGTTAGGTAGGTTTTTTTGAATTATGTTAAGCTACATAAGGCAAGGTTGGTTTTGGTTACGTCAGGTTACAGTAAGTTTTCATGTATGTGGACTGTGGAGCTTTTTGCTTAACTACATTAATGGTCTTAATATGAAGAAACTCACCCCTTTGTAGGCACATAGTATGGGCAGAACATGCACTTGAAGATACAGTCTGAGCGAGCAGTGTGATAAACTAAGTGGGGCCGCATCTCACTGCGCTTCTTGCAGGTAAATGGGCACCAACGACACTGGAAGGTCCGGGCACTCTCATTATACTCCACGTTCTCAACCTCAACTGCAATTTGAAGCAATAAATATTAGTTCCAGAACCCAAATCATACACTGAGGAAAAAAACATATACAGGAGAATGATAACATTGATATTCTGTATACAGTATGAATATTTATAAAATATTATGTGTACCTGCAGCTTCCTTTGATTCAGGATTCTGTCCTTCACATCGGCTGGTGATGCCACCCTGACCTCCATGGCTGGTGTCAATATGCAGCTGAAATAAGAGAGAAAGGTATAGAAAAGATCTGTAGTTTCAGGCATAGAAAACCCATTACATTAAGTGCTTATCCTATGATTCAATATTAATCAGCAACCACTTAGAAGGAGGATGGTCCACTAAAGGGTTACTCCCAGTGTTGCTAAATGTACTTGATACTGTTTTCATCTTATTGCTGAGTGCAGTAATTAGTATACAAGCAAGGAAACCAGTCTACCCTGGCTAAGTATCAAACCTTGGCTCATTCACAATAAGAGGCATATGCTCTGACACCTAGCTTTTGTAGATGCAGTTAGGGAACAACTGGGCTGAAGTTCCATTCCCAAAAGTAGTCGGCAAGAAATTTAATTATGAATTATGTATTGGTACTGGATTATATGGTGACAGATATAGCATTAATGTGGTGCATACCAACTAGACAGTTTTAGCAAACAGAAGACCTCTTCGCATCTGGAGGATAAATGTTGCACTTGGTCTCTTGACAATTTGATAAATTATCACCGTAATTGGCATATATGAGAAATATGAAGAAAATTCTAGTCCTCCAGTAAGTAGTCTCTGTTAAGAAAAATGGAAAGGGGGAGCCTGAGGGACATAAACACTAAAATATGTCAGTGCTCAATAATTTTACAAATTGCTTAACATTTAATACCTCCATTTAGGTAAATTTCAGTTTCCTTAAAGATAATAACATTAGTGATGAAGAGAATTTAAAAATCCAAAGCAATTATTATCACTGAAATGTACCTGCACAGCCCGTTTAGTCCCAGCTGCATAACCGCAAATATCACAGCGATGGACAGCGTGTAGGAGAGACACAGGGCCATTGCGGGCATGAGCGAGACGCACGTGCTGCACTATTGTCTCACGTTCACTGTCCCTAAAAGGTACGAAAAAATACTTTAACTATAAGAGCATATGATAATCATTTTATTATAAATACTGTACATCTTTTTCTGAGGGGTAGACAAACAGACTATTGGATTAAAAATATATTCATTGTTATACAAAGGAAATACCTAAAAGAGCAGGAGTTGCATTTCCACTCTGGATTGCCCTCATGGTCAAGAACCATCTTGGCCACCTCCCTGCCGTCCTCTCCTGTTGATGATACTGACACCTGCAAATACATCAACTTCTTAGGGACTACACACTGATGGAATTTACCCTTTCTCTGATATATGTAAAGATACTTCATAGTCTTTGTAATACTGGGGAATATCAACTCACAAATTCAACAAATAAATAAAAATATTGTAGCCTAGCAAAATAATCAATCATTGAAAAGAAAACTTTTAGTTACCACAACTCAATATATGCTAAAAAGTATTTCTGAATACATATAAAATCACCCAAACTATGGAATTTATAACACACTAGTAAATACTTCCCATATTTACAACACATGGTGTCTTTGAACAAAATTCCAAACCTACAATGAATAGCTACCTCCAAGACCGCCTAATTAAGTATATACAGGGTAAACTTTATCATGAAACTACCTACCAAAGTCTAAATCTCATATTAGCTATGATACACTACTCTAAAGACTTCTAACTAAAGAAGGCTACAGTTTATAAATTTTTACATTATCAATCTAATTAAAAGATTACAATACCTGCTACAGAAAAGCTAGCTCTCTATACGCTGATGAACAACAATAGCAATTCTGAGCCTATCTGAGGTACCTGAGTCTACACTATGTATATTTTGTTTGTATGCTCAACAAATTGAGAAAACATCAGCACAATTTAAGGTACAGTATTCTGCATAAGAACACACACACACACACAATATCTATGTTCAGTTAAAATTCCAGAACTTCCCATTTAAGAAAATAAAAAAGGGGCAACCTTATGAAAATAGGTTGTACTGTACTGTACTACCTGACAGACCAACATAAAATATATCCCACATAAACTCATCAACGCACAGAAGTGTGAAACTGGTCTACGGATCAGTATACTGTACAGTATTACACAATTAACCTTTTAATTTAGGAGGTATGTTGTAGAAATTAACATCTAATGACTGGTACTTAACCCCAGCATTTGAAAATCTCAATAAACAACTACAGTAAATTATATCACTGCTAAAAGTAATAGTATTTAATAAAAAAGCAACAGACACAACTTGAGACAACAAAAGTTTTAAGTGGCTGTGTACATCATTCGGTTACTGGGTACATCAGATTTTCTGAAATACTGTACAACAAATTTATCACCATATTTTACTTGGGATTTCCCTTTAGAATGCTATCTCTATCCAAATGTGGCTCGCAGTTAATGTTTAAGAGCAGCAAATCAGTAAAAATGTCTACATAATACACCCTGACCATTAATAACTACTAGTAGGTGTACACTGATCATCAAACACTTGATAAGTGTCACTTTAAACATAATTTACAGAAATTATCTTAAAAATATTTCTGCAGATAACACTGTTTCTGTACGAGTGTATCTTTAATGAAGAAATTACACTAGTTTTCTCACTCTATTTGACTATCTATATATGGTAGTGGTCTATCTGTGTCCATTTAGCTTCTTGAAATTTACTGACAAAATTTTTTTTAATTACACCAGAAACACATTGCTACTACATGTTAAGAATTACCTTGGAATTCTTATCATAAAATGTAAGTATAATATTATTAAATTAGCTGACTAATTATTTTTTAATTTTCCATTTTAAAATTACTTTTCTTTACAAAAATATATATACATCCCCAGTTGAAAATACATGGTACAGCTTACAAGTCAAACAAAATCCATGAGTGGTGGTTGAATTAAATAAATAAAAAGTTTTCCTGCATTTTAGAGTTTCCCTTTCCAAAAGTGTGCCTATGATTATAAAACACATGTGCTTATACCTTTTATAGATGTGAATTTTGGAAACAACCTACAACTGCATAGTCCTTTACAAAGCATAGTAAACAAAACAACAATAAGAATACCAACACTGTGCTTGACAAGACACATCACGCTCACACACACATATGGTGCACTAAAACAAGTGTACATCTATGAAGCCGAAGTAGGCAAAGTGTGCAAGCTGCAGCAGTGGTGTGTGGCGCTGTACATTTACCCAGGCTGGCAAGATAAGACAGAAAGCTACATTTGTGTTACCTGTTCTTCAGCACCTCCCGCCAAGATGTTCAGCCACGCTAGCAATCTCATCTGAAGTCACGCAAAAGGAACAGTTTTTTCAGTCCTGCCTGTGATTGTTGAGCACCTGGTTTCCCCAATAGAGGTGCTGCTACATGACCGAAACAGCTCACATAGGAAATAATGTGCAGCACACAACCACTACTGACTCGGTTAACATGTCCACAAACTAGTTACATTACTACTACTATCACAATCACAAGAAAATATCTGCCATGCTCAAGTCACAACAGAGCATTCTGTCTGTACCTTTGCTAATAAAACACTCACTATTCAGACACTACAAAATAAAAACACTGAAGGATGATCAAACTGAAATTTCTAGAAATCGAAACAACAGTATGGCAACATCCTCGCCATTATCATAATAAAAGAAGTGAAGGCCTTAATCAGTTCTAATCTTATCTAAATGAAGACATGTGCATAGCCTCAACCAATAAAAAAATATCTAAGTATCATAAGAAGTATTATGCACATCTTGAAAAGCATTTTAATTTATCTAAAATTTGCCTGAAGCATACTCATGGTCTAATATAAAATCCAACCACTCATCAGGGACCATATTACACCAGTGACCTTCAACCTGACTATCCACTACTGCAATGATAGTCAGGTCCACTTCAGGAAAACTATCAATACAAAATCTTTTCACTGGAGTTAGCAATTGGCAAAATAAATAACCTAAAACATTGTGTTGATGTGGCATCTTAGAAACACAATACTGCATCACCAACAATGTTGTTGAATTTAAAGCTGTTGTGTATGGGTACTGTATAAATGAGAACATCCACACACACACAATTCCTCTGTATTGTACAGTACTGTACTTTGATCATCCTTTCCCAACTATAAACATGCTAAATATTACACTTTTCACTCTTTTGAGTGAGACAAAACCATCTTTTCACCATGATAATGAAAACCAAACTTCTGTTACCAGATAAAATTCTATGAATGTATAGCATTTTGCACAAAATAATTATCTTTAAGCTGTGGAATAACAAATCCCACAAAGTGCTGAAAAAGTTGTCTTCATGAAGACACTTGTAAAACCTTTGATAATACTGTATTGCTGAAAAGCTTATCAAAACAAGTTGATGTACTGTAATTACTTGAACCCCAAAAACCTAGACCAATTATGTAGTAAGTTCAAGCAATTGACCAATAATGAATAGTTCAATCAACACCCAGTAACCTGAATATTGTGACATACTATGATAACTTACTCTTTCTGAGAGATACTTTTCATATATCTTTCCCATTCTCCATAAGTTCTGTATGGCATAATACTATGCAGCTACTACTAACATTAATATACTGTACTACAGTTTTCAAAAGAGGTCAGTAACATCACTACCACACACACGTGAGGAGGGTATGACCTAACCAATCTTCTCTAAATATGCTTACAAAATGTAAAAGATGATGCTGTATATCATACAAATAATCATCTCTGCATGTTAAGGCACTTTACTTAAGAATGATATATATGCACCTTGTATAAACTTTGTAAAAAGAACAATCCTAATATAAATGATAGTTTCTTTCAAGTTTTCTAACTATAAAATATCAAAACAAAAATCACGATTAAATATAATTGAATAATATTATACCTGTACTAGTAGTGCTGTATTTTTTCTCAGTCTTAACATCTGAGACGCATTTCAAAATCCCATGTACAGTAGTTGACCGCAGTTATTTCTATAACTTAAGACTAACAACTGATTTACATGACTTCAGACATTTATGAACTGGAGTAATGGACTCAAAATATTTGGTGCACAAAAAACTAGCTGAAGACAACCCCCGATGACATTAGGTATGTGAATATAACTCTTAAAAATATGGATGCACAGGCAAAACATTTATTTCTAAATCAGTAAAGTCCAGAATGCACTGTATTAGCACTTTTCATAAGCTGTAATTTGGGATTAAAATAAACACCTCACTTACTATAACATAAATATACATTGTTCACATAAAAAAAGCAACTCATCCTCAACCAGAGCAACTTATTGGTGTCCCCATAGTGATGGGGTTAGAGGAGATGGTCTACTAACAACTTTGATCTGGGATCCGCTCTGTGCTGAATTTGCACTGACATTATGACAAGTAAGATTTTCCTGTCATATTATTTTCAGTTTGATGAGTAGACTGTACATTAAGACCTTCATCAATCACACTTTAGAAAAGATGCCCCTAAATGTAAAAAGACCTATTCTAGGAATTGTTTTCCCTTCCCCAAGCAGTACAAGCTCTGGGTCTAGAGCCCCAGTCCCTTCTAGGAAAACCTCTAATTATATAACCATGGTCTTATCTGTTTCCTTGAACCTGAAGTCAGTACTGTATATGGTGATGAATTCTAGGTTCCAAATGGACCATTGTTAATGTTATGATGAATGTTCAATACAGAAGCAGCATAATCCAGTTAAAAGATTACTTTAATAATCTCTGCCTTGATAACATGTAAATTTTCCCTCTTTCATGCCTTGCCCTCCCTTCCTTCTCTGCCATTCTTACCCTCTTACTACTGTACTTTAAGAGATGTGTTCTGCTACGGTCATCCTCAAATTTATTCTTCATATTGTCCCCGCCTTGGAGTATGCATTGCCATGATGTTACTTTTACAAATCTCTGTATAACTCCCACATGATAGTGCAACTAATACATTACTATGAAACCTCACAACCAGACACTTTAGATATGGGTTATATGCCATAAATTAACACCTCATAAAATGACACTTCACTTATGGTTTATAACTCAAGAGAGAGAGGGAGGGCCCCTCTCCCTCTGATTAACTACAAATTCTCACAGCCACTACCACTTCAAGCAACAATCAATATAATTTCTGGTGAGTTAAAATGAAGCCTTTTGTGTATAATTAACATAAAATACAGTATTGTATCTAATTTTCCATTTCATGTGTTTAAAACGGTTAATTTTCATTTGTAATTTTTATATTATGTCCTCTGGCAGAAAAATGTCAGTAAGAACTCACTTCCAATTATATCCTAGTTTTCATTGAGAAAATTGGTTTTATATTAAATAAAAATTTTCTACAACACACCTCTTCTGTAAAGCGGGGGATGCCTGTAGAGTACAGGAAATTATTGGTGAAAGTGAGTTAATGAACCTGTTGACTATGCTCAGGAGAGACTAGAGCCTTTTCATCATATACCATGGCAAGCCAACCAACAGACTTAATAAAACTGTAACCAACTCTAGCTACAAGAAATTTTTATTTCTGACACACTGATCCTTGTGATACTCTGAACAACACAAGAGACAAGTTTAATAACCAATCCTCTTACTACAACAAACGGAAACTATCATTAAGATAAGATTAAACAGACGTGGAATAGACCACTGACCACCATGAGTTGAGAGGTTTCTAAGACACAGTTGTTGACTAAAAGCCTAAAGAGTAACCGAGAGATCAAGCAGACCCAAAAGGGGCTTCCTGGAACAAGTTCTGATGTAGTAAAATATAATAACCATGCATACAAAAAAAAAAAAAAAAACGAATTCCAATGAAACCTTGACATTAAAGGTAATTTATCAAGCTCATGAGCAGGTGGATTGTGGCTTGATTACCACAGCTGGAAAGTTGCAAGAACACTTTTTCTTGGTTTCATCTACTGTATGTTGCAGTAACAGTGAAGAATAATTGTTTTTTGATGTTTAGATACCATACTGGTGCCAATGTGTAAAAGTCACACTTTCATATATACAAAAATCTCTATTGAGAACCATTTCATATTGTAGAAAAAATAAAAATAATGGAGGAGTTATATGAGCTGCAGCAAAATTAAGTAGAGTTTATTTATAAAACCGTAGTAATGTGTTTCCTTTGACTGTTCTTAACTAAAAGTGCAATTAATAAAAAGGTTGAGCAATAACTTCACAAATCTAACCTTACATAAACCTGAAACCAATACCCGGAAATCCGTGAAATAATATTTCAGATAGAAAGTTCTACCGAACTTATCCATAATGCTGTTACTGTTAAGAAAATGGTCAATATCTTTCAAACATGAAGTATTTATATGAGAAATGCCTTAAATCAGTAGCCATAGTTTCACTGGCTGAAACGTGATTAAAATCTCCCAAAGTGTTTGAAACGATTTAGAAGGAATCTCTCAAGACACTATGTTCTTCCCTTCCCTCTCTTCCCTACTTTCCTGTTCTAGACTCCTACAGCTCACAGGATTTCCCTCACCCTTCCTGCCTCACCTGGTGCGTTAGTGTAGCCTGACTGTCTTTTTCTTCAGAGTCCACAACAGAACCTTTCTGCTGCTTCTTAAGTTTAGACAAGTTGGTCGAGCCAGATGCCAGTAGCTGCAGTGTCTCCAAGCTGGTATTAACCGCCCCCTGCAATATCATGCTATCACTGGATCGTTCGATGGCCGGGGACTTGACACCACCAGGCTTAAACTACTTCTCTACAACAAAATGACTGGGAAAAAGGAGGCAGACTGCTACATTCATCAACAGGCTGGGGTCTACACAAGTACAGTATACTGGGTATATATGCAATCTAAAGATAACTGGAGAAGCTTACTGGTCATGCAATTACAGCATCAGAGTCCCTTCACCAACACTACCTGTAGCAAGTCTTATCCTAGACTAAAAAAAAGCCACCAAATTTAATAACATTCTTTCCTCTATTCGGCAACTCTTCTTGTCAGTACGAGAAAATGAAAGTGAGTGATTGATCCCAAAATCCTATTTTATGACTGAACCTGGTCAAGGCAACCTTGATATCACAACCACCCAGTCTATTGGTCAAAAACCCTGTCAATCCTTTGACAAAGTAGCTGAAACCAATTCATTAATTGGTTATCCTTTCCTGGCATAATTAAATCCCTAATAGGGACCTTAGAAACACCTGTTACTATTTAAGGTTGAGGACAGCTAGCTGTGATGTCATATGAGCCAACATGTAATGTACTGTACTGTACATGTTTCCTGGCTCAGACATAAGCTGCCATTCCAGGCTCCAAACCTCAGTTCTTATCAACTTCATTACTACCCACTACAGGTAGCAAAGTTGCCTGGTCCAAGCTTGGTCATAAAAGGGGATTTCAAGATCAATCCTCCATTATGACCAAACACCTATCCCAGGTAACTCATAAATCTAAGTCAGTTAGATAAAAGGAGAATGGTGCAAAAAATAAACTCCAAATACTAATGTGACACCATTCATACTGCTATAGAAAGGCACGTGAAACTACCTTTATAAACTTCCCAGTGCCATACACTTCTCATAGTCTCCTAACCTACGTAGCAGCTACTAACTTTAGCCAAAGTCATTGTGTCTCTTTGTATGAGGGACTTAATGGAAATTCCCCTCAGGAAAGCGATTGAAAATATGACACCACTCAGGTCATGAACCCTGGGAGACTTTCACATTCACCATTACTGTGTTCTTGGTCTTAACAATATGTATTCCTACTAGGTATCACAGGTCAACCAACACCTTATCAAACCTAGTTCACCATCATTTACCATCTCACCGTATTTGAATCTGATCTAAGCTACATATTATTTACATTTCTTGGCCATGTATAGAGTAATTAATGCTTTATGACAACCTACGAATACTGTATCACACACATTCTCACAGGCAGTGGTTTTCTCTGACTAAGAATAAAGTACACAAGTAAGAATTAGCTTTCATTGCAAATATTTCATATCACTGAGTACAATACTGTACAGTATAAATACAATACATGGAAAAATCCCAATCCCTCCTGGGGTCTTAATATGGGAAGAGGACACTGGAGCTGCCATTAGTTGTATGTCCCTTACTGAGCGAGAACACTGTATAGAGTTAAAACTCAACTTATGTGGGGCTAAGAGGTGCATACACCCAATATATCTTGTTGAATAACCCAACATAGTTCAAATAAATAACTGCATCCCCTGAAAGATTCCACTATGTTATGCTACAGAGTACAGAAGAGCACACTATAACCCTCAAATGTAAAGATGTGAAGTTACTGTATGGTTATTTCCAAGACAGAAGCCCAGTGAACTTCAAAAACTATAACACAAAATAAAACTTCCAGTAATTCTTTTTTCAGAGCATACCAGGAACTTCCTTTTAAAAACAAAGCCAAACCTCCAGGCCTTAAATAAAAAAAACTACAATACAAGAGACTGAATCACTGGAAGTGACATTGTATTACCCTTTTAAATACAACATGCCTACATGAGTCCTACATATCAACACACTGGCAAACCCAATCTGGATCATTGGAAAGTGTAAACAACACTTGCAACATGAAAGCAATGAAGGCAAGATTCACCTTACAGTAAAACAAACACTAAGACTGTGAAACTTGGCCTACGACTGTACAAGTGCTAAAAAATAAAACAAGTTGCAATAAACTTAAATATGGGACAGCTATACAGGGAAGACACCAGCTCAGGTGACAAGAATGGCTGTAACTGATGTCTGAAGCTAGGAATGATAGCTTTTGACTGAGCCAGGTAACAGGTACATTGTTCACTGGTGGATGTGACATCATGATTCCCTGTTATACTGCTTAAATGGTCACTGTTGCTTCTAAAAATCCCTTTCCAGGGACTTGGTCATGATTAGTAGGTGTAACTAATTAGTCCCAGCCACTTGTGTCAAAGGATCCCCTTAGTTTTCAGATCTGTAGACTCGGTGGGAATGGTAGGTAAATTGCCTGGCAAAGGTGTTAGATCATAAAAGGACTTGAGATTTTAACCAACAACTGTGGCATCTTCTCAGCATTAAGTGAAAGATTATGCCGGCTCAACACGCAATCTTACTGTGATGGAACCTCATCAATAAGTTACCTTTCCACACAGATAGCTGTGTCTTAATAAAAATGCATCTCTAACAAACACTATCTCATCTATTAAACTTGGAAAACAAATCAAATTAGTAGTAACCAATATGTAAATTTATCACAATAAAGATTTAAATTATGACAGTAGGCCATAAACACTATAATGGTGACATTCAAAATCAACATGACTGACAGTTTCTTCAGAAAATACTATAAACCAACAAAATTTACAGGTGATAATAAAACGATTTTTATTGAATTTGCTTTGTTCAATTCTGAATAATTGCCATAAATTACAAGTGAACAAGAATGATAGGTAGAGTAGCATCACTTTCATAGGGATAAGTGTGTAATTATCTGTAAGTAACTCAAAGTGATCACCGAGTCATTTCTAGATCATATTAACATTTTATCATGTTGCTAATTTACTCTCTTTTTCCCAGATGGAGGATTTATCATTGAGGACAAAGTGGTGAATGGGTTGACTGGATCTTACTAAAATTTTGCAGGTTTGTTTAGACTGGCTGTTTCAATGATCTTATCACATTTACATGAAGAAAAATTTTCTTTCCATCTGTTTCTTTAAGATATTGCTTTGAAAGTTTTGAAGGAAATACAGTCGTACTGTATGGGCAAAACACACAAGTGTACAACCTTAAACTCTTTCATTCCACCAATCCCAATTAAATAATTATCAGATAACATTTTGAAATGCATAGATAAACTTTCTCTCCATGTACTCCATAATTTTTAACTCAATCTTTAACTCTTATTTTACATTAAATTGTTGACACACCCTTGACCAACACTGTTTATGCTACACTGATCTGGAATATTGTACTGTACAGTGCCTTTACTCACATATGTGCATCACTGACTCAATTAGATGGACATGTATTATGTATCACATTTTTAGTTATTCTCTCTTATACTTTTTTGAAGGGAACCATCACCCAGCCAACAGTGTTCTCGCTACAGGATGAATGTTATGCAATTTCTTCACGCTGACACATGAAAAATTTACACTTTTTCTTCATTATGGTAGTTTTTTCTTCATAAAATCAAATCATGTGTGTAAGTGCATTGACTTACAAACAGTATGGCATTACATATGTTAAATGTTAATAGTGGCATAGGTGCCTTATAAATACAATTCTTGTAACAAACAAAATTAAACAACTATTACTGTCATACAAAAATAAAACCATGACTTAATTTCTCATCTATGAATATAAAAACAAACATATCTATCCCATACAATGAAGCATAATTATGTAAATATTAATAGGCAGACCATGCAGAACACACACAATACCTGAGATCATTAATATTAGTATTAAACACAAAGACATTCTTTTTAATATACTGTAGTAAAGAACTATAGTATGTTGTTCTACGTAAGGTGTTTTGCTTTATTTGCTTCATGAACAATATTTACCCCACATGAAAAGATTTTCTTCAGATACTGTATGGTAATGATAACTCATGTGTAGTCAAACATTTCCAGAAAGAAAAGAGAAAGATGGCAAGAGAGAACATATACTGTATTTGACACCAAGGTAGTAAATAGAGATGATAAGGTTAAGATTGAAATGAAAACTGCAAAGGAAATGATAATCCACAGCTTTTTCCCCATAAAAATTTTTCTTTTCAATTATCTCAGTTCACAGAAAAATCAAATTGGAAAATAAATAAAAAAAGAGAGCTATTACTTTAAAATGTCTTTGCCTTCACTAGCATTGCACATACTGAGGTAAATATAACAGAAAGTGATCCAGCCTCAGAGTTTAGGCTTCCATACAATCCAAGACATTATGGGCATATGGGGATATTGCTCTACCTGAATGGACAGGGCCAGATTAAGGCACAGGCTAATGGGGCTACAGCCTAAAAACCAAGATCAATATTTTGTTTTTGATCAATTCAATATTGTCAAGACCTTCAATTGTGTCAAATGGCTCCTACATGTGATTATGCCTCTGGCCCTAATAGAGGTTAAATGAATGACCATTAATAATAAACTGTAACACTACTACAGTACTGTACTGTACTGTGCTACTGTATGCTACACTAATAATAGCAAACAATATTGTATGTTTTGAATTATGTATCAAATAAGTGAAATGAAAATTATGTCATGATGAATCCTGCATACTGTATTGTACTCTACCAACAATCTTACGTATTGAACACAATTCTATGAAGTATTTTGTCGAGTTATTATTTCATTACTAATTTTATTCACTTTTATTTTTTTGTTTCACAATTTTTCCTTGTACTTGAACCCCTGAAACAATTGTAACAGGTTTAAAATAAGCCTGGATCTGGCCCTGAGTAGCTAATGGTTATAAGCACTTGTTAATTCCAAAATCTGAATCATGGTAAAACACAAACAAGCAAAAGCCACATTTGCTAAGCAGAAATGCATCACCTATTAGAGAGTAAGTCCAATAAAAAGGAGCAAAACAAATAAATAAATAACTGCCTAAAAGTAGCTCTCACAAATTCATAAACAGGTAAAACTCCTACCTGAGGTGTGATGATCTGATACTGGCCACTGGGCACAGGGCTTCCTGAACCACTGTCTCCTGAGCTGGTTGTCTTGCTATTTGTACTAGTTGTAGGCGGTGTGGTGGATGATTTGGGGGCCCCTCGTAAGCTCAGTGGAGGAGGAGGCCTGTTGCCTCCTGAGCTTCCTGACGCAGCACTCCCGGCAAGCTGAACCATCATCTGAGCTCCGGGTAATATTGGACCAAAAGGCATTGGACCTGGGCGCGAAGAGTTTGTGCGACCTGGAGCTCTGGTAAGGCGGGGCAGTCCTTGAAGTCGAGGCATCACTGGGATGGATACCATAGGAGGTTTCCGAACTGGAGAGGCAGATGGAGTAGATGTTTCTTGTCCTTCCTCTTTTTCAGGAGTGCGCTTAGGTCGTCCCTTGCGAGTTGGTATTCCCCCTTCAGTACGATGCGCATTAGTTTCATCGAGCTGGATAATTGCAAGATAGCAGTCATACTTTTCATAATTCTTCTCTCCAGTTTCATCAGTAATTATCACTTGAGCGTCCTGATGACTGTTGTCACGGGAAGTCTTTAACTTAATGTGTTTGGTTATGTCCCATCGCCAGTTAGACTTATAGCCACACTCAGAACAATTATATGGCTTCCTATTGAAGTGACCAACAATGTGCACATGAAATCGAGATGCCGTTGTGGCCCAGAAGCTACATTGTGGGCATCGATAGACTCGTTTGCTGTAATAATGCCGACCCTGAGGTGTTGGACTCTCAATATAATCTAAAGGTCCTTCAAATGTAACTGGACTTTTTGTACCTGCGGTTTTTGCACCTGCTTTTTTGGTAGAATCCAGAGAGACTTTTTTCTTCACCTTTTCTTTACTTTCATCTGCAGTCTTATCTTTGTTTCCCTCTGTTCCTTGTTCTCCTTCCTGTAGCTTGAAATTATTCCACACAAATACTCTATTCTCCATTGGATGTTTATCATCACCACTCTTGCAGGTGTTATTGTTTGTTAACTTCATATCTTCATCTTTATGTAAATTCTTCATTTCACAATCTTCATCATCCTCATCATTCCCTTTAAACTTTTCCTTTTCACTCGACTGTGAGTCTTCATCTTCGTTAAGTCTCCCGCCACTTGGTCGTCTCCCTGAATCTGTTATTTGGTTTTTGCGAGCTTCTGGACACAGTTTTAGGTGGTTCATGAGATCATCAGTAGTTTTACATCTGTGTCGACAGAACTGACATCGGGTTGACAGTGATGCAGAGGCATATATATTCTTTGCACTTAAGTGTAACTTTTGATGACGAACAGATTCTGAGAGACACTTTGATTCATGCCCACAAAACTGACACACCAAATTCTGTACATTAGATGTTGGCATCTTCTCTTGTAACTTCTCAAAAAAGGAAAGGCCCTTCTTCCGCCCAGCATCTTTTGATGGGGAAGATTCTTTGGAGTCTGACAACTGATCTTCAGGAGGTTCAACAGACGTTTCTCTACTTGCACTTCTGCTGTCATGATCATAAGTATTGGTCTCCTCTTGATGAGTTTTACTGCCCTTGAAGTCAGGATCCTTGTCCTCCACTTCACTGAGCTTATCAAGAGTGTCTGAGATTTTTATGTCTGATGCTATGTTCTTGTAGTCTGGTTGAGGAAATAGTATTTGGCTTAGCACATCATCATTAGATGTTATACTCGAGCGCCTTGAAACTTTAACTGATTTGGCAGACTTCTTTGCCTTCTTAGGATGTACTTCATACTTAGGGAGGGGAATACTGTGAATTTTCTTCTCATGACGAGCAACTTCATTCTTAAAGGCTGCCTTAAAAATACAGAAACGACATTTAAATGTCTTTATGTATACATTGCCATGTCGGTGAACAACATCGTCAGGATGAATGAAATCTTCCTCAAAATTGTGTCGCTCATTGAGTTCTTGGAAAAAGGTATCTTTAGATCTTGGTACTTTCATCTTTTTCAAGGTAATTTTAATCTTTGGCTTCTTTCTTTTTGGTTCCCCATCTTCATCCTTACTATCTTCAGCATTCACATGCGAGTCATCATTGCCTCCCATGTCAATATTTGACACCCGGAAACTGTTACTACCATTGTGGTGACTCTGAGAGCTGTCCAACATGGAGGGAGAGTCTGGTGGGTCAAAGCCAGGTAAAATGAGAGCATCAGGATGCTCATCCCTCTCTAAACGCAACAGTTCCATTTCTTGATCATCAGAAGTGCAATCGGCAGGGTCACTGATGCCTATGGTACGCCGCATTTCTCTCTCACGAATCTGCTCAGTCGTTAGGTGATGGTTTGATATGTGGACTGTAAGACTCTGCTTAATCTGTGCAGTAAAATTGCAAAGATGGCACTTGTATTCTCCACACTCCTCTGTGTGATTTTTTAGATGACGGTCTAGATTCCAACGGTAAGGCGTCCTAAAGTCACAATATTCACATTTGAGAATAGGCAACTGGTGATACTTCATGTGTTTGGTATAACGTCCCTTGAGATGCGTTACATAATTACATTTGACACAGCGAAAGAATCTACGTTTTAGATGATATGAAGTTTCATGACGGTTGAGGAGCTTACGACTTCTACAGGAGTAATCACAATGCTCACAATAGTATAACTTCCTCTCATCACCAATAACTGATGAGTCGTCTGGATCCATCTGGCTGTCATCATCATCATCCATACCATCCCAAACATCAGGAGTTGATTCAGAACTCCTTGGTGACTTTCCAGGACTACTTCTTGTTGACTTGCCTGGTGATACACTTGATCTAGTGGTCTTCATGGGTGAAACTTTTGCCCGGGGAGACTTAGAACGCCTTTTATATGGGCTGCTAGACTCTTGTCTCTTTATTTTCAACTTGTGAACCATTCGAGCATGACGAATCAACTTCTGCTGGTTTTTGGATGCATATATGCAACGTGGACACTCAAAGACCTTCATCCGCTCTCCATGTTCATCTCGGAGATGGTACAAATATTCCCGAGGGTTCTGAGTGTTAATACCACAGTGACCACAGCAATAGTTACGTTTCAAACGACATTGAGGAAGGGATTTACCATCAGAAAGGGTTCCATTAATAATACCATCTGGATTCAGCTCTTCATCATTCAGATCATCCTCATCATCAACTTCACCCTCAATGCCAGCAATGCCATTCATTTCCCCTTCAATATCCTCTTCCTGTCCAGCTTCAGTTTCTGGGATATCATCAACTTCTATGGAATCTTCTGGGAGAATGGGTTCCTCTGCCTCAACTTGCTCACTCTCTTTCAACTCTTCTTTATCAACATGTGCCTCATCAACTTCTACATCTTCATCATCATCTACCATTTCATTCTCAACTTCTTCCACAACTTCCTCCTCAACTACAGGCTCTAATCTTTCATTACTTTTTGGTAATTCTTGTTCCTCATGTTCTCCTTGTTGATGATCCAAGGATGTCACATCTTCTGGTTCATCTACTACTGAGTGTACTTCTTTATCCACATTTATTTCTTCTGTATCCATTACTGTAGTTTCATCATCTTCAACTTGAGAAGTGTCAATTTTTGTGGGGATTGCCATTTCATTTTCAAGCTCACCCATTTCAATATTTTCATTTTCATTCAAAGCCTCATTTTGATTTACCAAGGGTTCATTTTCCTTTTGCTCTTCAAAAGGAATGTCCTCTTTCTGTTCATCTTTGTTAGAATCATCTTCAGTCTCATCCAAAGCAAGATGTGACTGCTTAGTGTCTAACTCACTGTCTTTACCTTGATCACCTAATTCACTGCCTTCCTCTTGAGCATCCATACCTACATCACCATCTTGCTTGACTGCTTGATTCTCATCCTGATGTTCTACCTCTAATGTTTCATCAACCTGTAGCTGTGTATCTACATCTACCTCTTGTTCAATCTCCTGCATCTCTTCTTCTACCTGTGTGATCATTTCCTCCACCACTTGCTTAGCCATACTACCATCTTGCTGAAGATCCTCGCTTGAAGGATTATCTTCTGGATCCTTAAGGTCCTGTGCCTTTTCCACAATCTCTAACTGATGTTCACCTTCTTCAATCTCTAGTGATGCCTCTGGTGCTAATTCCAATGGTAAAGATTCCACTGGTGGTGAATCCTTTAGCACTTCTTCAACTTCAGGAACACCATCTGCTGCCTCAGCTTGAGTGACTACCACATCAACTTGCTCCTCTGGTGGCTGTTCCTCCTCCTGTTGGATGTCCACTAAAGCCTGATCTGAGTGTGATTCTTGGTTCTCTTCACTTCTCGTTCCCCCCGGCTCACCATCCCCATCCAGCATCTTCCTGTGGTGGAATGGGCTGTCATCAAACTTTCTACAAAAGCTAAAGATACAGGTAGCACTAGGGCTAGGTAGCCATCCTGTTTGTGATATATAGTACAGCAGTACATTATATCAAGCAGCATATCTAAAATTAAAGCTTTCAAGAGTTAGAAAGGGAAACTATACGTAAAATTGCACTTTCCTGCTTATATTACAATCCAACAAAATAATCATGATTTTTCCAAAGCCTTGACTTCTTTCATTCTAAACATTCTTGTCCCTCAATGATGTTCATCTTAGGTGTAACTATAATAATACCTGTACCTTCATTTGCAACATACTGTGCTGTACTAGAGCTGTAGATCATTACTGTCATTGAAACACAAATGGTTTGAAATTTAAAAAAAAAGGTAAAAATATACCTGTAATGTATGTAGGTCACACATCCCTACAAAATCATAGATGTTAATAAAACATTTATAACAGCTAAATTATCCATTCATTGGTATTTCATAACAATAAAAATTAATAAACAATAAAAATGTAATGTTCTTATACATAATTTTATCTACAGTAATAATAAAATTAAAACCCTAAAAAATCTATAAAATAGATCAGAGAACTGTAATATGAGGAAAATGAAATAAATTTGAGGTTTACTAATTAAACCCCATCTCCTTCAATAAAATAATTGGTACCAATGTTATACTATACAGTACTGGCAATTTATGGGTGATAGACGTTCTAGGATCACTTTTGGGGCAGAAAGCTTCCTGGACGTGACAGTGTCTGGGCTAAGAATTTCCCAGTACAAATAAGGACAATGTTCGGGTATCCAGGTGGTGCCCAGATGAAATGGACTGAGGTATTGTTGATTTAAAGTATTGGGAAGTTTGTTATGATACGGTCATTAAAGGGACCACTTCAAGAGAAATGTAACTTTAGAATATGTTCTCTCAATAAACCAATCTGCTCCTGTGCACTCCTACTACTGGTACTGTACATGTGCTATGTACTGTACAATAAGACACCAGTTGAACTCAAGATACCCAGTACTGAACATGGCTGCAAGTTTTACACTCCATAAACTAAAAATCTCTGCAGGACACAATAATACGTAAAGATCATCTTTTGGGTTCACTCTGCCAATAGGAAAAACACCATTTTCTTATGCCAATCTCGTAACTGTAAATGAGTATAATTCAAATATCTTAGATATTTTACGGTACAGCATTTAAAATATTTTCATCTATTTAACATACAGTACAGGATATCTAACACATCCAAATGTTTAGTGAAAACACTATTTAGAAAATAAACTTCATGTTTACTGTACTGATTGGACCACACCTCACTATCATCCCACACGTAACTGTAGCTAATAATTATTAAAAGAATGTTGCAAAAGGTCATAGGCACCCAGTTCATTGAGGCAGCATCCTCACTCCTGATCTCAAACAGGCAAGAACTACCGGGTAAATACTTTGCTTTGATACTTCTAGTTACATTAGTTACTGACTCACACATCACACTGGCTATCATCATTGATAGCAGCTTCCATCACACACACTGGTTACCACCAGACTCCTTTCCCTGCTAGATGAGCCATACCTTCTCCAGTGTAGATCCTCTTAAAGGCTTTGGAATAACTTGCCATTACCAAACTATATGCAGGATGAATTAATAGCAAATTTATTAAATAGAGTGAATAAAAACCTAAAAGGAGAAATGTTTAAAATTGTGTCCTATAGTGAGTCCTGTATACATGAGGACTTAAAGATAGCTTTATCTAAGTGTACAGTACTCTACTTTTTTAAATACACTACTATATGACTAACTCATGCATTTACTCTACCATGGACCGATAAGTTGAAAAGAATTTCTCAAAATACAAGAATATTTTTTTTTAAATAAAATACTACATACCAGCAGTACTACTGTAGGTACAATACTTAATAAAAAAAAATATGGTACACAATACTTTAAAGAATTCTGGCCATGCTGGAAATCAAATATCATAAAAATTTCATTGTTTCTGAAAAAAAAGTCAAAAGTAAATACATGTCATAGAATACTGTACAGAGTACTGTATTAACAAGAAACATACTGTTTCAAATATCCAGAAATAATGTACCTGTACTGTAGATGACCTGAAACACTTAAGGTTTGTCATGGAAATTCTGTAAAATTATCATTACATCTTACAAATACATTCTTGTAGTAAGTAATGCACATGGTAATCTTGAATATGCATACTTTATTTCTTTATAATACCTTATACTAAACTGTAATCTAAACAGCAATGCTAAAGTACTGTACAGGTTGCCTAAAACACAATACTTACCTAAAACAACTAAAATATTGAAAATGCTGTTATAATATATTTTCGAAATTTACTGCAATTATCTTAAACACCATAATAATAAAAGCACTATATATATACTGCATCTTTATTTTATGAAAATGCATTCATGTAATATACCAAAGGTGTACTGAATTTACCCTTAACTCTGTAACTATACTGTACAGGTATATTAAATCAAACTGTATTCAAAAACTTTAATTATTATAAAATATTGTAAAAGCCCTCAAAAGCACCACAACAAACATCTCACCTACAAGTTACTGTATGTTTCATCTGCTATATTTATCATCATAAATTACTACCTATATGATAAAGTATGAACACACGTGTGAAAAAAAAAAAAAAAAAAATCATTGCATCTGTGGAGCTGTGTAGGACAGTCCATGGCATCCTTCTGGCGCTAACACACTGTTAAGGATTAAATTCACCTTCCCAAGACATAGTACGAGGGTTAAAGGACTAATGATCTGATCCAGAATTTCATGATGGAAATCAAGAACAATGCAAATAAAACACACACACACACACTCTCTCTCTCTCTCTCTCTCTCTCTCTCTCTCTCTCTCTCTCTCTCTCTCTCTCTATATATATATATATATATATATATATATATATATATATATATATATATATATATAATCAACTACCTCACCACCAGGATAGTCCTGGCTGGTGAGGTCGTTGATTTTATGTTCAAGTCCGCGTGTTATATGGACTAAAAATGAAATATAAATATAAATATTATATATATACATATATTCTCTAAGCGCAACTAAAATTATATAGGGCAGATTTCGGCATGACATCAAAATATAGCAGCTTATGTATATATATATATATATATACTGTATATGACAACGTGCCAGTTAATGAGGTCAAGGGTAAGTTGACAGGGGTGCTATGATCAATTAGCATTATCATTACGACTGAATACGATAAGTGAGTGTCACGAGCGACATATGGTCAGCTGACAGGTCAATAAGAGTGAGTGAGTGCCCGGACTGGGTAGCTGTGGAAGCTGCCACTTCCTGTAGGAACAACTCCTGGACTGTTGTATCCTCTTCACCCACTCTCCTTCCCTCCCTCCTCCCCTTCCCATCACTGACAACACCTAAATTTTACCTTAAACACACCTAACTATAATCAGTATTACTCCCTAGTAACGATAACTCCATTCCATGCAGGTGTGGCGAGTAATTAATAGTTAAAAAGTTTTTTGGGAGGGGTGGGAGGGGTGGGAGGGGGGGGGAGTAAACAAGGTATTACTGAGCGACCAGCTGTACTCCCCTAACACGACCCCCCCCCCCTCACTCTCCCAGCAATACCCGCCTGCCAGCCGTACGATGAACACTCAGTCACGTAAACAATTGCAAAATTATCCAATTAGCAAGTGATCCATACATGCCATTAAGGCAGTAACATAAGTTTAGACGTTATGACATAATGACACAATCGTAACACAAAGAATACAACAGTAATTGACAAAATTAAAAATAATATGCATCATCACCGCCCGCCGCCTGCCTTTGCTGGGTCGTCTCTCAGGTTCACCGAAGGTTTGTCATCACTTAAGTCTTTGATTTCTACACTAACGCGCTCCACTAAACCAAAAAGACAATGCTAGAATGAAACCTTGCAGTTACTTACGCTCTTTCCAAGAAGAATCAAGTTGGCAATTCACTCCATTAATGCACATTCGCAATATAACTGATGGCAGATCCTTGCCGGAGCGACTTGTATGAAGTCTGGGCTTACAATGAGCCTTCCTGCCCCCTGGTGGCGGCCGCCTCAACCAGCGCAAGAACAGAGCTCCTCCTCCACACAACCGCGCCATACTGTCACCTCAACCACAGTCTGCTTCTACAACACTCCTTCTTAACATAAGCATTTACTTCCACGCACACCTTGGAGATCCAGGATTTCAGGTCTTGCAGAGCCATGTACCGACTCAGCCTGGGGCTACCGAAGGGAACTTAGGAGACGAGGTCATTTCAGGGTCTCCATGTGGAGAGGACTCTGTGACCCCTTTACGTCAGCAATCTCATCGGCAGCCTCAAATTCAACCGAGAGACTAGTTTAATGATAAATTCTTCTTTTTCGTTTGACTTTTTGTAAAACCCCAATGGCAATAGTCGGCATAAATGACCCATTAAAAGAACAATGTAATATAAGACTATCCAGGGTGTGGAGTTAGTCAAAAGTACTGTACTGAATATCAAAACTTTACTTCCCAGTACACGTTATAATCAACCACTATTCTATCTGCCAAGAGTCTCAAAATCACTTGTCTCTGAAACCTCTCATTTATAATAAAGAGTATAACAACACGGAAAATATCGGATGAAGGAATATGTTTGCGAAGGTGCTTGACGGCCCAGCAAATCGGAGCGGGTGGTGGTGGTGTTGCAACGGCAAATATTCGTTGTGTGTCACATCAAGTTACGCAACACTGTAACAACCCGAGTCCCACCAGCCAGCCAGAGCCAGCCAGCCAGTCCGCTCGCCTCCACCCTCCCTCACGCAAGATTACTGTCCTAGTTTTTGGCTTTTAGCGAGATATGCCGCTTACATACTGGTGATGGATTCCTTCCCATATAAAGTAATTGAAATTGAAGTCAAAATTAAAGGAATAATGCAGGTTAAAAACTCAATAGTCTTTAATTTTAATTGACAATCACTTACACTGCAGTCGCTACGAGGCCCATGGAAGTGTCAATCAGGTTTCTAGGCTTTAAACCGCATATGGAAACTTGAAGCTGATAAAACAATAAAAACAGATGCAGGTTAAAACTTTTATTCTTTTGGCCTCGAATGACATCTTATTAGTTTGAGGGATATTACGTACAGTGCTTTACATTTCGCAAGAAATGCAAGATGGTCAAGCCAAAAAAAAACTATTGCGGCTTCAGATCATGGCTGCCAACAGTTGGCTCTGCGTCACCAAGTCCGACATTACACCACAGTCCATACAGACACTGTTATCACATCTGATCTGATGGCACCTTATCAGTAGCTGCCTTGTTGATGATTATCAAAACTCCTGCGTCCACATTCTGAAAGATTCGTACAATGATTTTCCCTCTCTAGCTGTAGGTAACAGAACGCCTCTAGTTAGAGTCTCATGCTATTTCGACAAGCCATGAGGCCACCATCTTGGTATTGTAGATTAAGTAAGGCAGTGTGATGCGTTCTCATGTCAACAATTAGGGAAAGAATTAACATACGAAGCTTTGAGACTCCCGAGTCCTGACTAACAGAGGTAGTGTGTCCTGTCACCAGTTCACTGCTATCCTCTAACTTGCATCGATTTTCCTTCTTCATGAGAACTGAAGAGAGTGAGAACCGTTCCTCCTTGTTGTTTCATTGTGTGCGTGTGTGGTTCTTGCAGCTATCAGACAACAAACAGTGTATCTAGGTTGTGAGTTTACATGTCATGTAAACACTGATACGGCCTCTTGCTTTCTTTCAGTTTTATTTAGGGTTCCCGGTATCTGAGTGTGTGCTTGTGTCTAATATTCAGTGTGTGGACATATGTTTCCTCTTCACAATCTTCAGTGAAAGTTCAAACGCTAGTTTGACCTCTCGCTGTTATTCGCCCGTAAAAAGCTGCTGATAACTATCTAAAGGTAGTTATTTGTTGCAAGATGTTTCTCGCATGTCTCAGGGATGCAATTAATATCTGGCAGACATGGATGTGCGCTCTTGCTATCTTTCGCATTAGCATTGTTATCTGAAGTTACTAACTAACTAAGAAATTACCCCCAAGTAAATAAAGCAAGTGTGTATTCCGGTTACCAGCAGCATTAAATATACGAAGGTGTTATTTTGAGATAAAATAATCCTCTTAGAAATCAAGCGTCTGTATCTTAAGTCCGACAAACGTTAGTAAAGTTTAGTCATTTGCTTCCTTTTGCTTTAAAACAACCCTTCGCTCACCAAGGTATTATATTTTGCTACGGGACAATACTAGAGAAAAGTCTTACCTTATTTATTATATTTCATCTCCTCGGAAGACGTTAATAAGACTGAAGGACAAAATTCAACCAAAAGAAACAAACGAAGTGCAGGTAAAAGAAAGTAGACTGAAAGGATTTTGTCCAGTTTGGAATTATCACGGGATTTTTTTAAGTAGGATTTTCTCCAAGAATATTCCAATAAATTACTTTTAGATCTACTTGCTAGAGACCGTTAATGTGTTCCAGGTGGGTTTAAATACGATCATAAGCTTCTAGATAACACATGGATTAATGAGTCTTCGTTTTTCACCTGAAGTTTTTCGTCCACATTAGTTGATATTGTGGTGTTGTTTCTGTCTTCAGTTCGTATCAGTGTCGTTTACAAATCGGGTTGTTATCACAGTATATTTGGATAGCCAAGGAAGGATCACAGAGGCATACCTGTCAGCATTTCAGAGAGAGTAAAAAAAGTGTTGATCAAGAGGGAGAGAAAAAGAATATTAATGTAGAAGATAGACAAGGAAACAAACGAAGAAATGTTAGATTATATTATGTCTGGTAGAGTTAAGTTAGGTTAGGTCTGGTTAGGTCTGATTAAGTCAGGCTAAGACAGGATAGGTCAAGGTTAGTTAGTTAGGTTAGGTCTCGCTAGATTAAACTAGGTTAGGCTAATCTTAAGTTAGTGTTGGCTAGATTAAGACAGGTTTGGCTATGTTGAATTAGATCTGGTTAGCTTACATTAGGTTCGGTTAGATTTGGCTAGGTTAGGTTAAGTTTGAGTAGGTTAGGTCAGGTTTGGCAAGGTTAGCTTAGGATAGGTTAGATTGGATTAGGTTAGGATAGGTTAGATTGGATTAGGTTAGGATAGGTTCGATTGGGTTAGGTTAGGATAGGTTAGATTGGGTTAGGTTAGGATAGGTTAGATTGGGTTAGGTTAGGATAGGTTAAATTGGATTAGGTTAGGATAGGTTAGATTGGGTTAGGTTATAGGTTAGACGTTGGATTAGGTTAGGATAGGTTAGATTGGGTTAGGTTAGGTTAGATTGGGTTAGCTTAGGATAGGTTAGATTGGATTAGGTTAGGATAGGTTAGATTGGATTAGGTTAGGATAGGTTCGATTGGGTTAGGTTAGGATAGGTTAGATTGGGTTAGGTTAGGATAGGTTAGATTGGGTTAGGTTAGGATAGGTTAAATTGGATTAGGTTAGGATAGGTTAGATTGGGTTAGGTCTGGTTAGCTCTAGCTTGATTAGGTTAGGTTTGGCTTGGTTACATTAGGTTAGTTTAGGGTAGATTAGGGTAGGTCTAGCTAGGTTAGGTTAGGTCTGGGTTGATTGGGTTAGTATTACTCAAGGGAAGCGGATAAGAGATAGAAACAATGAAAGAACTTGAGAAGAAGAAGAAGAAGAAGAGGAAGAAGAAGCAGAAGAAGAAGAAGAAGAAGAAGAAGACTAAATGAAAATAATGAAAGAGTGGGAGCAATAAAGGGATAAATAAGAGAGAGAAACAGATATAAAGAAAACTAAGAAAAGAGGGACGAAAAGCGATAGAGAGAAGACAGAGAGAACGGAAGCAGAATGAGAGTGAGAGAGATGAAGGGGAACAGAAAGAAAGAAAAGAAAAGAAAAAAATGAAGACCATCCTTAACAGAAAGAGTAAGAAAGAGGAAAATTATAAAGAGAGAGGAAGAAGGGTGAGTGAAAGAGGGAGAGAAGACATGAAAGAGATCCGCCATAGAGGAAGTATAAGTAAATAGAAGAAGATAAGGATAGAAAAAACTAATATTTTCATCAATTGTAAAGTGTACATGGATAAGACACGCACACACACACACACACACATACGGACATACAATACATACATATAGACACTCACGTACATATACACATACCTACGTAGACATACACAGATAGAAATATACAGAGAGAGAGAGAGAGAGAGAGAGAGAGAGAGAGAGAGAGAGAGAGTTACAATTATAAACCAACGAGCAAAAAGACACACACACACACGGCCATTTTGAAGATTTTTGATTAAGGGGCTGGCCGTCTGAACTTAGAACCATTCATTATATAATTTGTCAAGCATTTTTAAGAATAATATATTTTACTCCCTTTTGACCTGAGAGAGAGAGAGAGAGAGAGTCTAATAGGTTTTATACAGATACGGTATAATAGTTATTACAGTAAAAATCTTGGACGGAAATCTCTCTCTCTCTCTCTGGTGTTATGCAAATGATTCTGATGAAAGGTAAAGTTTCATCGTAATTTTGATGCCACTGTGAATGTTATTCTTGTCAGCCATTTAGCTCCGATCTTACTTACCTAGTTACATGGATAATTCAACCTATTATACGGACCTCTAAGAATCCTTGGCCCTGGGCTGGAATATTCTCTTGGTTTGAGAGAATAATATAAGATAAGGAATGCCGCCTTCTTTGTGTCGTATCTTAAATCAGACAGTTAGACATGTTCTTTTAGCCTCCAGTCGGGAAAAAGTATCGTACGAGTCTTACATAGTCTGAACAATGAAGCTTGAGCATAACCACCCTTGAGTTTTACAGTGATTTTTTCTTCCTTTTGCTCCCACAAGTACTTCCCCCATATGGCGCAAGGGTAGACGGAACCACGAGACTCTTCTTTCATTCGCCTCCATTCCTTCATTCATCCTGCGGCGTATTCCCTTTCTACAGAACGCACCTGATACATCACTTTCGTATATTTATCTATTACATAAAATTTCGTGGAGAAGTATTAAAAGTATTTGGTTCTTTCAGCTATAAATGGCTATTGGAGCCTATGAAATCGAAATACATACATGAAATACGAAG